TTCAGCCTTTATTTATTAATTCTGATCAACTTAAGTTATCTGAGCGATGATATGTGGACAATAGTTTAACAAATAATACAGGAAAACTAACAATTTAGAAGAATTTGAAATTGGCCGAATCACATAACACTTCATTCCACAAAGGCATTGTGGAGTTCGGATAATCACTCTGCAGTTTCAACAATAATAATAGTAATGAATGTACTATATCTCATAATTCTCAATGGTGTCCCATTGATTATCAGTAGCAACCTAAATAAGATTCTATTTCAAATGATCTTCACGAAGTGGTGATGATAGCCTATTGAAATGAGCACATTTGAGACTACGATTATTTACAAATGTATTGAAAAACAAAAGCGTGAAGGGAATCGCTGTCGTTACACAATTCCTCGAGTATCATGCAGAATAATCTATAGCATGGATGTTCAAACAGTTCTATCGATAAAGTACTTCAAAATGTAAACTGTCTTCAAGGTGACATCATTAGCTTTCACTGTAATTCAACTTTCATGAAATAAACAAGTTTTATATTCTGACATATCTAACATATCCCTTGATACAATTATCACCTCGAAGGAATAGAAAAGAGCTACTTGGGAATCCATATCATTGATTGATGTTGAAAAGGATGTGACTGAATGTTGATCGTTCACTCAGTTGATATGACGATGTCCAGGTATTAAATGTCTGAAAGAAGTAAAACCATTTATGCGTATAAATTATTTTGTTGTCATTATGATGACTAACAGTTATAGAGATGACCGTTATACGATGACAGATGACCATAAAATTGGGGTTTGCTGAATTAAGAACAATTGGTAGTGTGATGAACTCCATTAAGTGTATTGATGCAATTTAAAATTTTGAAATTCTGAAACTAACCAATTGAATGAGTACATATCGAATTATACAAAAACAGACTTTCATAAATTTTGGTTACTCCTTCTAAAGCTCCTCCGGGAGCTATTGCCGGTGCCAAGCCCTGGTAAAGGAGAATGGTTGGATATGGGGTCAGCAACCCCATCCCGTGGAAAACCAACTAGCTTAAAATACGCTAACCAGGATAACTTTTGGTATGCCGATTGAAGTTTTAAAATCACTTCTCATAAATAAACGATATTTCGATTTTAAGCAAAGATGGATGGTGGCTATCAGTGAAATCCAGGACTCGTCACCTGGATGTACCTGCATCTCAGGGTTGATGTTCACTCTGACACTCGAACCCAGTGCGGTCCCGTTATCCACTCAGCTACTGAGTCCTGATAGCCACCTGCTTGTGCAATGGGTTGAAGTTTGAATTCACTTAGTATTGTTTGTTTGAATCTTCCCATTGTTGTTTGGGATGGCAACTGGTCAGTCTCTAACTGGCATACCTTTCGCTTCAAACGCAATCGCGTTATCCACTCGGCCACTATTTTTGAAGTTATCACAAATGAACTCAATGGGTAGAATATATTGAACTATAGATGTTCAAGGTCATATCATTGATTGTTTAAAAGATTGTAAGAGGAGGTTGTAAGTATCTTACTCTCTCACTCTCACACTCACTATATAAATAACCAATCTACCTTTATGTGTCACATTCACTAGTTCACATCATTCTGTATCTATTGATATACCTTAGTAACAATAATGAATAATTTTGAATGACCTAATATATGGAAACGAACGTATATAACCTAAACTATCCTGACACTACTAAGATACATAGTATGTTTGTAATAGTTAATATTGATTGATGAATGAAAATACTACAGATTGAAGTTATAGAATATTCACATTAGTCGTCAAGTCATTTTTAATTATTGAAATATCTAACGTCACTCGAATCAAATTATTGATTTTGATTATTATTATTATACAAGGTTAATAATATAGCGTGATCACCCCCCTAGTCATTTAGACTATAATCACAAATGGTATGATTTGAATGTGTGTAGGTTATCATATATATGGATATATATATATATATGTAGATATGTATTACCTGACAACAAAAATGAATTATTCAATGAGGTCCACAATCATTTTTATATTTATCTGGTCATCAGTTTATACAGAACCTATTCCTCTTAGTAAAATTCATCTAAATCATGATGGAATGTTCATGGATCACCTTGGATATATTAAACTGTTTAGAGGATTTAATAATGTTGAAAAATATTTTCCATGGTATCAAGAAAATGCATGGAATATTACACAGATAAAAATGTTTCAAAATTGGGGTTTAAATGTTATACGATTAGGTATTATGTGGAGTGGAGTAAAACCGAATATATCCATAGTGAACACGACATACTTAAATGTAATGGAAAGCCTGATTGATTTATATGCTGAACATGGAATATATGTGATCTTGGATATGCATCAAGATGGTTTATCAAGTCGATATGGTACTTATGATGGTATACCATTATGGTTAATTAATCAATTTAAAAGACCACCAACCATTTTGCAAGAACCATGGCCATATAAAAAGTTACCAGATTGGGAAGGAGCATATTATTTAACTTATGAATGTTCTGAAGGTGCACAACAATTATATGAGAATGTATCAGGTGCTTGGAATCATTGGGGTGATTTTTGGGAAATAGTAGCAAAACATTATGGAAAAAAGTCGAATGTACTTGGTTATGATTTGATTAATGAACCTCCACCTGGAAATTTTTATACTAATCCATTAAGAGGGTTTCCAGGTAAAGTTGAATTTCTTAAATTTTACTACTATTTTCAGATGTCAAGTGAATAGATTTGTGTTTATGAGTATTTATAAACGTCATGTGTATTTAGTATTTGGGATTTAAAGTTCACCCCATTGCACAAGCAAGTGGCTATGAGGACTCAGTGGCCGAATGGATAATGCGATGACGTTTGAAGCGAAAGGTACTGGATTCGAGTTCAGAAAAGTGAACATCAACTCTGAGATGCAGGTACATCCAGCTGACGAGTCCCAAATAGGACGAAACGCGCGTCAAACTGAATTCCACTGCTAGTCACTATCCATCTTTGCTTACCATGTTTGTGAATTAAGGCTTTATCGAGGACATACGCTCAGTATGCACATATGTCAATAAGAGACTGACCAGTTGCAGTCCTAAACATCAATGGGAAGATTTGAACGAACAATACTAGGTTAAATTTATTTAGTACCTAGTTGGGATGGAAGTCGACTAAAATCTAATATGAATTTTATAGGATTATTCGGTTAAATATAGAAAAATGAAGTTCCTTAGGACCATCAGTTACATTATCGATTGTTTATATATATAAAGTGAGAGTGTGTGAGGGAATAAAATATTTTTAATCTCCTCTTACAACCTTTCAAGTGATCAATGACATGACCTCAAATATCTTTAGTTCGATGCATTACAACCAAGGAGTTCATATGTAATAACCTCGAATGTTTTGCTTTTCAATCACGGAAAAATACAAACTAATAACAAGAACTAGTGACTGGCTGAGTGAGGTATTTCCTGGAGTTCTAGTGAAAAGCATTAACCAGTGGAGTTCAACCAGGTTTGTTAAGAGATATCAACTCACTGATAACATTGTTGAATGGTTGCTCAATTTCGTGGATTGGTTGAAGTTAGACACTAACACCACTGGAAGCCGGCTTTGTGGTCTGTCGGTTAAGTGTGCGAGACTGTTAGGTCCTCTCGCGAAGCGGAATCTTGGATGTGCACGGCTGAGAAGTTCCACAGTAGGACGAAACAGCCGTCCAGTGCTTCCAGAATTCCCATCTTGGTCTATGTTCAATTGACTCATGATCTGAACTCTATAAAGGACAACAATAATAGTAAATGAAAATTTTAGGACTCAGAGACCGAGTGGATAACGTGACCACGATTGAATCGAAAGGTACTGGGATCGAGTTTCAGAGTGAACATCAACTGTGAGATGCAGACACGTCCAGCTGACGGGACCCAAACAGGACGAAACGCGCATCAAACTGCATTCCACTGCTAGCCACTATCCATTTTTGCTTAAAATGAAATTCTCGTTTATTTATGAGAAGTGATTTTAAAACTTCAATCTGAATACCAAAATTTATTCTGATTAGCCTTTTTTAAGCTGTTTGGTTTTCTACGGGATAAGGTTGTTAACCCTATGTTCAACCCTTTTCCTTTACCGGGGCTTGGCACCGGCAATAGCCCCCGGATGAGCTACAGACGGAGTTACGAAAATTTATGAAAGTCTGTTTTTTGTATGATTCCATATGTATTCATTCAATCGATTAATTTCAGAATTTTGAACTGCATTAATACACTTGATGAAGTCCATCACACCACAAATTGATCTATACTCACTTCTATAACTGGTAGTCACCATTATGACAAGAAACATTTTATTACGCATAAATGATTTTACTTTTTTCAGATATTAAATAGCTTGTCATTGTCATATCAACTGAGGGAACAATGATCATTCAATCTTAAAGTTTCCAACATTCATTCGTGGATTCACAATTAGCTCTATTCTTTTTGTTTGAGGTGATGTTTGTATCGTCGAAGGTGATTAGTTTTAAAACCACTAAAGATATGTTAGAATGTAAAACATGTTTATTCCATGAAAGTTGAATTACAATTAAAGCTAATGATGTCACCTTGAAGACAGCTTGCATTTTGAATTGCTTTATCCATTGGACTGTTCGAACACACACGTTGAAGATTATTGTTTATGATACTCGAGAAACCGTGTGACCGCAGTAATTCCCTCCACACTAATAACTTTTGTTTACCATAATGGAGGTTCCAAATGTGCTCTCCCTAAGAGGCAATCATCACCACATCGTGACTTTTGTCTTTCGATCAACTGAATATCATTTGAAATAGAATCTTATTTAGGTTGCTATTGATAATCAATGGGACACCACTAACATTATAAGATACAGTACATTCATGAGACAAACGAATTTGGATCATTGATTGTGTATTATACTATTTGATTTTGACAAAAGTCATTGTGTCATGTTAGTATGATGGATTTTCTGATTTCAGGTTATGCTGGTCGATATAATCTACTACCAGTTTACGATTATGTTGTTGAGAGAATACGTAAATATGACAAGTCAACATTGATATTCTATGAACCAGTTACATATGGTATATTTACTCCTCTAAGCACCTCAGGATGGTTAGGGACTGGATTTGGACGTGTTCCTGGAGCGAATCGTGACAACTCATCACCGAGTAAAAGTGTTTTGTCTTACCATTATTATTGTTGGATACTACAGAGTGATTATCCGAACTCGACAATGCCTTTGTGGAAGAAAGTGTTATGTGATTCGGTAAATTTTAAATCCTTCTTCTCAACTCTTGAGTTTCCTGTATTATTTGTTAAACCGTTATTCATGTCATCGTTCAGATAACTTTAGTTGATCAGAATAATTAAATATAGACTGACTCAAATGGTTAGTAGTTACCGCCTCATTCAAGATTAGTTCCATTTTGTAATCATCATTCAGTCACAAAGATGGAATGTTTATTTCGGTGTCCTCTTAACTCCTCATTTCTGTATTTAGACCAATTTGTAGTTCAAGACTGTTTGTTTAAATCCCCTGGTATTGCTGATAAATAGACAGACAGAATTCTTTCTATAACGGGACTGAGTTAACGTATTCGCCGAATTCACTTGACATTTAGGATAAGAGTTGGTTGATGAATTTTCACTTTTATGTCTGTCACACCGTTGCTGTTTCATTCAATGAACCAGATACATGTTTTACTTGTTCAAGTAATGACTCCGCATTCCTAGATAGTTATAACAATTTGACAAGAGTTCATTCATTATTGTTTGTTTGAATCTGCTCATCGATTTGATAGGACTCTAACTGGTCAGTCTCTAATTGCCATATGTGCATACTGCGTGTATTGCCTCGATGTAGCTTTCATTCACAAGCATGGTATGCAGAGATGGATAGGGACTGGCAGTGAAATACAGGACACGCGTTTCGTCCACTGCTAGCCACTGTCTATCTCTAGTTTGACAAGAGATTTACTTGTGATGGAATATACGTCACAATTTGTAGGAAAGAACTCAGAGACGTCACTTAGAAGCAGATTATAATATCAAACGTGACATAGTGTTCACTGTATTTTAGACGGTCATTAGCATTTCAATGTAAAATATGTAAATCAATTAGTTCCATTGATAAATTTCGATAATGTAATGAGAAGACTAAGATTATCAAAACTATGTGGTGAGATATTAGCGTAATACATTTCGAACAATCTGATCACATATATACTACACTGAGAACGGAGGGGGAGGTAAGAGTAGACAAGGATAATAATAATAAAATAATGTAAAAACAATTTGACACCTAATCACTATGGCTTATAAGCTAACACATTACCAGGGTAAATTCAAGGGGAGAACAAACTGTTTTTGAATACACAAAAGGGGTTTGAATTTTCGTGTATGGTTAAAGCTTCAATAAACCTTAGTATACGCTCTTTCACACTTTTATTCAACACAACAAAAGCCGAGCTAAGATCCATCTTATGATCTGTTTCAACTATATGTTTGGCAAGAGAGGACGATGGATGTTTATCCTCTACTCCTATGGGGTCATTCGACTGTATTTGTTTTTGCAACCATTTTGGTACATATTAACCCACCCTTATTTTCGGATAACGATTGCTCCTCCCTGTGTATGTGTGACCACACACACATTTAAATTAATAAACGCAGTGGGATGTGACACAATCGTTTTCATGTTGTCTAGGTTTTGAATGAATCATGGAACTCGTTCTTTCCCTGATTTTAACCTTCGCAGCACAATACGTTTTGTTGATGAAAGATTTAAGCCTTTGTTTCAATAAAAGACTATTTTAATCACCTCTAAATGTAAGGTGATATAGACAGGCTTTTTTTGTACCAAGGCTACTGTAGGTCTCGATGTGCCCTGAACTTTACATCTATTGATAAATTTAGGTGGATAGTTATTCCCGATTAATGTCATGGTTAACAACTTAACATCGTCATCAATAGCGTCGTTTGTGTAAATACGAACAAGCCTGTTAAAAAGGCACTCCACCAAACCACGTTTGTGTTGCACCGGGCAATAATTATAGTTACTAAGATATTGACCCATCCACGTTGCTTTTCGAAAAATGGATCGTTTTATTGAGCCATCTCCTTGTCTGTTTAGAAGTACATTTAGGAAAGAAAGTTGGTCGTTCTTCTACTCTTCGCATGAAAGAATGATATGGTTTTGAATAGTGTTAAATTTATTCAATAGGCAGTTTATATCTTCATTTCTTTCACGGATTACTAAGATATCGTCCACATATCTCTTATAAAGTGACATATTTTTGATTAAGTCTTCAGATAAATTTTACTACATGTGCCATAAAAACATCTGTTAGAAATGGTCCTGACAGACTACTCATAGCAACCCAATCAATCTGGCGAAAGTATTCGCCTAAAAAAGTGATCTGAATTTTATCAATATATAAAAGTAACAAATCTTTAAGAATTTTATGATGGGATAGGTAAGTTAAGGTTGTTTCAAGATATATATTCTCATAAAATGTCAATAGTCTTTTTAATGGTACATTTGACGTGAATAAGGAATTCACGTCAAATGAGCACATAGGTTTTCCTTTGAATTTAATGTCACCTAAATGATCGACTAATTCAAAAAAATCCTCTAAAGAATACTTACATAAACGTCTTTCAATAGGAGGATTCAATAATTCTGTTAGACATTTGACTAGGTTATATGTGTGTGGGTGATCGGTTAGTTCATATAAATGAGGATACTTAGAACCCATAGGTTTGTAAAAAATGAAATTCCTCTTTATCAATAATATTCATGTGAAGCAATTTTCCCAGGTTTGAATTCACTCTTCACTCTGGTTTGTTAATACCTCCAAATTCAACATGAGGCATGAATTTACTTTCATCACTGAGGATGTTTAATATGTTATCCTTATATTCACATTTGTTCATGATAACCATGCCTGGTCCTTTATCTAAGGCTTCAACAGAACAATATCAGTGTTTGTTCGTAGTTCTTTTAGTAATTTAAAATGTTGAGAAGTTAATAACCTTCTCTGATTTTGGTTCGACAATATGAAATTGGTGTGCTATATTCACCAGTTTAAAAGTGTAAAAAGGGTGTATACTAAGGTTTATTGAAGCCTTAACCATACACGAAAATTCAAACCCCTTTTGTGTATTCAAAAACAGTTTGTTCTCCCCTTGAATTTACCCTGGTAATGTGTTAGCTTATAAGCCATAGTGATTAGGTGTCAAATTGTTTTTACATTATTTTATTATTATTATCCTTGTCTACTCTTACCTCCCCCTCCGTTCTCAGTGTAGTATATATGTGATCAGATTGTTCGAAATGTATTACGCTAATATCTCACCACAAAGTTCTGATAATCTTCATCTTCTCATTACATTATCGAAGTGTAAAATAAACTTTCCTCTCTGCTTGGATATAACAAGATACACACACCACCTTCACGAATAAAGTAGATATTTGAGCTTGTTTGCACTATACCATATAATTCAGTCTAAAATGAGTCACAGTTTGGAGAAAGACACGCGATGTCAGAGACTGATTGTTGCTAGTACGGGTGTTTTTCAGGTATTTTAAGTATAACTCAGGTCAACATTTTAATTCGAACGCGCCTGGTCGAGCATATAGAACCGAAGCCACGTAATAGTCATTTCACCATTTTCGTAAATAACAAATCGTCGAGGAAATATCGACTGTTACGATGAAACTATCAATATCAACGTGTCGGTTTCATTTACGAAGCAAACATTTGTTCACGAATATCCGTCTCTTGGAAAACAGAAATTCATGTCCACAATTAGTCAAAAAAATATTCAATGTCAGAGTCCAATATGATACGCTTCTCACCCTTTTGTGGTTGTGTAAAATATTATTTGCATTTTAGATGTAGGTAATTTTTTCGTCGTAACCGATATTTTCTCACTTTGACTCATTCATCCAAGTGAAAGGGCATCTTATTCATTGATGCTGTACTATCAATAAACAATCATGCAATGCTATTTACCTTTCAAATTTCATTTAGTTCCTCTTACCAACTGTGATTTCCAATGTCATTAAAGCAACAAAAACAACTGGAGGTGGTAGATTTTTAACTGAATTTGGCTTGTGTGGAGATGATGGAAATCCATCTAGTGTCAATACACTAGAATGTAATGCGGTATTGGATGAAGCTGATAAACATTTTGAATCATGGACATATTGGGATGGACACTTTATAGATAATGCAGGAAATCCTATTCAAACTCAGGTAATCAAATTTCGAACCTAATTTTTCAATAATATTTTTGTTCAAAATTAAAGTTTGTAGCGAATTTATTGAATATAACTGACGACACAAGACCTTTGCAGCACGAATGAAAACAAGCGTTTATCTACAATGATGGCAAATCTTTGAGAACTGAAATGTCCACGTTATATATCTTGTGCTATATTAGCTCAACCGAATCGTTCAGAAGGTGTCACTCAGTTGTTTACTGTAGAATAATACATCGCGTATGTGCCACAACACTCAGTTTGATATGGTCTGCAGTGTTGACAGTTGAATAACTACCATAAAAGCCAACAAGAACATAAGAATAATTGTTTGAAACCGAGTGAATGTGATGACCGATTTGCATATGCACGAATAGTTCGAATAGCTCGTAATCAGTATGATCCAATATACTATTTCTTACTGTTCATCATTCTCACATTTTCTCCCTCACATCCACAGGTACGGTCTTTCATTCGTCCCTATCCACAGTCAACAAATGGGAGATTTGTCAAGCAACATTTCAATCATGAAACTGGAGAATATAGTTTCTCCTTCATTACAAACCAACTGAGCAATCAGTACAGTGAGAAACAGAATTTGATTGCAGAAATTTACATACCATTATCTGTACATTATCCAAATGGATATTCAATCAATCTGAATCCAAACAATTTAACTACTGAATTGAAGGGAAATATATTGTCTATATACTTGTCAACTGATCTAAGGAATGAACCTGTGCATGTTGAAATGGAGATAGTTAGAAAATAACTCAACTTGAATGTGACTTGACAAACTATCATTGTCATTATTCAAACGACTACTTGTCAACAACATTTAAATAAACAGTATAAATATAATTTTATACCAATAATATCAATAATGAAAGCGTGAGTCTATCGGCTAAGGGCTCTGGCTCGAGACTGGTAGGTCCTGGGTACGAATCTTGCGAGAGCGGGATCGTGGATGAGCACTGCATTTGGAGCCATTTTGAGCACCTGCCGTTTTGTCCGCGTGGTGAGGTCGTGAATGCGCACTGCTGGGGAGTCCCATAATAGGACAAAACGACCGTTCAGTGCTTCCAGGTTTCCCGTGGTGGTCTATATTTAATTGATTCATTATCTCATTTTTAAAAACTTTATTATTTATTTGTGTAAGACTTTCAACTATGAAAATACTAAATTACCACAAAAAACCTTCTGATAATAAATATCATTGTTGTTATGTGTTGATATTTGCGACAAAGTAGTCGGAATCAACAAATCACCTGATGGTTTTCATGCTCACCTTATTTTCTAGTCTGTCACTTGTTAGAATATATTCAGAAGATCACAGGGGATTTTGTGGAGAATTTAGTATTTTCATAGTTGAAATCATGAGTCAATTGAAGCTAGACCACCATGGAAAACCTGGAAGCACTGGACGGCCGTTTCGTCCTATTATGAGACTACTCAGCAGTGCGCTTTCACGATACCGCACCCGCGAGATTCCAACCCACGATCTACCAGTGTCGAACCATAACCCTTAACCGATTAAACACTGAGCCGGCTGGTATTCAATGGTGTTAATGTATAACTTCAAGTAATTCAGGATTTTGAGCAACCGTTCACCAGAAGAAACAATGTCATTTCATCCACATCTTGGAAAATGCTCATTTAATATTAATAACTACTCATACTCTGAGCACGGGCTCCTACAGCTATCACTGATTTGTTTATGTGATCAAGTAAGATGGGCAATGAATTTGAACTCTCTTGGATAAAATGCTTATTGAACTATTTATGTATCAGGCTCCATATGAGGGGTTGAATTTATAAATATCTATGCAAATGGTGAGATGTGAGTGATATTTTTTTGGAATGTTGACTAATATGAGTCAACTGGAAGATTTGGAAACCTTTACATATCTGGGCAGCGTCATTGATGAACATGATGGATCTGATGCAGATGTGAGGGCGAGGATCGGCAAAGCAAGAGCAGCATACTTACAACTGAAAAACATCTGGAGCTCAAAACAATTTTCAACCAACACCAAGGTTAGAATTTTCAATACAAATGTGAAGACAGTTCAACTGTATGGGGCGGAGACGTGGAGAACTACGAAAGCCATTATCCAGAAGATACAAGTGTTTATTAACAATTGTCTACGCAAGATACTTCGGGTCCGATGGCCAGACACTCTCAGCTACAAGTTACTGTGGGAGACAAGTCAGATTCCAGAGGAAGAAATCAGGAAGAAGCGCTGGAAGTGGGTTGGGCACACTTTGATGAAATCACCCAATTGTGTCACAAGACAAGCCCTCACATGGAATCCTGAAGGTCAGAGGAGAAGAGGAAGACCAAAGGACACATAACGCCGAGAAATAGAGACAGATATGAGAAGAATGAACAAGGACTGGATAGAACTGGTAGAGAAGGCCCAGGACAGAGTGGATTGGAGATAGCTGGTCGGTGGCCTATGCTCCATTGGGAGTAACAGGCGAAAGTAAGTAAGTAAGTAATGAGTCAACTGGAGGACAGCGACAATTTTATTTCAATGAATAGCTTGTGAATTACAAAATATGTATACATGTGCAGCTGAATAGTAGAGTGAGCTTTGGAAAAGTAGTTGATTGTTTTTGAATATTGATCTTTCAGTTGTTGTCAACAAATCTCACTGAATATGTATGTTCGATAAGAACATTTTCTTAAAGAACTTATTCTCCGTTTATGAAATGAAGACTCAGAATTCGCTGAGAGTGGTCACTTCACCAATGTGTGTGAACAAATCCTCTCACAGTTTCATGAAGCTTATTTGCACTTCCTATTTAAGAAATAGTGATTTAGCTTTGCGCTTCAAGTGTGAACTATAACGCTGTATGTCAGTTGTAGAAAGTCTGCAGAATATTATTTGAGCCATGTTGTACTAACCTTTACTTTTCACAATTATCATATTAGACTTATGGCAGAGAATTCGATGTCGCATCCCATCTGATGTATAAATTTATCTGAACTATGAATGGAGTTCAATTTTTTGAATCTGTAAACATATTTTCTATACAATCAACATACCCTCGATAAAATTTGTCAGATTATCAGTTTAAATGTCGAACTGATCAAAGGTGATCTTCCATGGAGAAACTGGTGGTACTGGACTGCAGGTCTTCTCTAATATGAGAATTCTCAACAATGTGCATCCACGACCCGCATTCGAATGTGGAAATCAAGGAATTCGGTCTCGCGTGTGAATGACCAGTGAGTCGTCTTAAATGGGTCATCAGTAGAAATTACAATACACCGATCCATATATGACCGAGAACATAATAAACGTACCAGATCAAATACATACACAACGTGTAAATTAGCGAAGTAGTTTTAATTGTACATGTGATTACAATAATGTTTCATCCTTTATCATTGTACACTTAAGATCAATCATATCAAGCTGAATACGATACGAGTTTATATAACAACCCACGAATTACTCAAAATAACACAACCAAATTTACAGAATCTTATCACATCTCTCCAAGATGACAAGATATTTCATGATCTGTGGAAAACAGAAATAATGAGAGAGAACCTTGTGGTGTAACTGAAATACGTGTTGGAAGTCGGTAAACATGTTTATTTTTTCAAGGATCAACATTTACACAAACTTGAAACTGTCTTTGTAAAAATAGATGGTCTAGATTGTAATCGATGTGAAATCGTTACCAACTTATCAGATGAGCAACAAGTGTTGCGTATTTTGTCACAGTTTACACAGGGTACAAATTGACGAATCAACGACTTATTTCATTCATCGTGATAACCAATCTATCCACATATCTATCTATCCATCTATCTACTAATTATGATTTATATGTATGATCAGTTCATCAACGTTCAAATAACTTTACTTATATCCATGTAAGTAGTATATAACGATGATCGGACATTGAGTGTATTTCAGTATAAGACCGATAACGAAAGGTCCGGAACGGGACGCAATTGATGTGAAAATGTATGAACAATGAAATCAGAGACGATGGATTGATATTTGCAGAAGGGACAACAATAGTAATCATTACAATATTGTTGTGTGAATACAATACGCATTAAGAGGTGTGTTATCCAGGTGATTACAAAAAACGAATTTCGAATGATGGATGTGAAGATTAAGATAGAAGTAATCAAAAGAAAGTAGGACGTGTAAGTGTTTTATAATATTCACTTTAAATATCCGGTGATCCAGTCGTGAGCCAAGGTAAACAAAGAGCCTGTATAAACCTTTTCTCAATACATAAGTTTGGTTTTCTGGAGTTGATCCACATGGTTTCGGTCATGTAGTGTAACCGAAATCTAGCTTTCGCTGAGGTAGATGTTTCGGAACTAGGTAAAAAACAGAGAAAACTTTCTCTCTTTTCATATGATGTTCACTATCTACCAAGTGAGAAGTGATACTGCCATTAATTGACTTGACGACTCCTTTCCCAACCATGCTGGTACATGTTCACCAACACGCATGGATAAAGTCCTCTGAGTACAGACTATGAAACTCTCTCTACAGAAGCAGTTGAATAGGTATACACACATGAAGGGGCTCATCTTCCTTAACTTATCTATGATTAGTCAATAAAATTATATGTAGCTTGGTGGCGTGAAATATCCTTATAACAGATCTATCTATCCATCTATCTATAAATTATTATTTTTTTAATCAGTTCATCAACGTTCAATTAGCTTGACTCAGTGTTTCTTCTCATCAACATTGAGAGATCAAAGATTTTCACGTTAGACGAATCTAGTTTTAATTGATATAGGCAAGAAATCAGTTAGAAACTTTGGTCGTGCTATGTGTGTTAAAATTATGATCAAAAGAATCTAAAATGTTCGTTACAAATCTTAAATACTCGTCTTCACTTTACGTAATGATTAATCAATGAATGAACAGAGACGAAGCTACGACTGACAGACCAAAAAGTTTGAAAATCAGTTAACAGGTGAGAACGAGAATAGATTACAATCTGGTCACAAAAGCATACAATCAAATGAATGTGGTAGAATAAGTTCGTTTACACGAAGCTTTCAGTTGTTGAGTGGCTTGAGTCAATTGATTAACTAATACAGTCGATGTGATATAACACATTCACATCATCATTGAATTCATATGTGCACAGACAAGTCATCGTAAATTTGATGTGAAGTAATTAGACCTAATGATTGCACAAGATGATTATGTCATTGCTAAAATGAAAGATAATCTGTGGATGAATAACAATTGTCTGAGCGTGTGCTCAAAACAGTATCCATAATGCGATAAAATCTCTTCCATATTTTTTTTTACGGTACTCACTTCAATGGTTCTTCAATAACACATCGGTTTCATGGATTATCAATAGCTTCAATTATAGGTCAGTCTGACCAAGTAACAACAATCGGAATAATGAATCTCAAAACCGTCCACCATAGAAAGTCATCCACTCTAGTAATTGTACTCTTCGAATATTTTGATATTCATCAATCATCATTATGCAATTCTGATCAAACTATTTTCCGTGTGAAAGGAACTATTCGTTTTAATGTGAACGAAAGTCCTAACACATGGCTTCCTATCTTGTAGTTGAACTTGAAAGTGAAACATATGGATCTCATCACTTCACTGTCAAACATTCAAACTACTACATCAAAGAATTTAGAACAGTATCGTAACTGGTCAATGACATATACAGTGGTAATCATACTGGAAAGTGTGAACAAAACGGTTCATTTCACGTGGGATCTGAAGAATCTGTATGCCAAATGTTTCGCTATTCAAGGACTTGTGAACAGTAGATCAGTTATATTGTATGTTTCGAATGCGAGAAAATCCGGAAACCTTCTAAGACTATCAATGAAATTTTTCTATTTTCTTAAGAGTACACAAGTGAACTACAATCATTATATACACTGCTACTGAGTATTCAAAGAAAGTGTAGCATTCCTATAATGTAGGAAATAGTTCCACAATGTATGCACAGTTGTGTCGTCGATTCGTCTGAGTGCACCAGACATTTATGTGGAGGTGAGAGAGCGACCAGCAGTGAAGTGACATTTCCTGAGTGCATCAGACAAACCCCTTCTCACTTGTTATAAATGATTGCATCTGCCTTTCAGCAACCAACGGAATATTACACTTCAACAAATATTTATATTATCTCGGCTACTAATGTGATTCAATGTTTTAGACATATGTTTTATTTCGCTCTGCAATTAATGCACATATGAGTAGCGATTACTGTATAGTATGAAAATATTATTTGCTGTTCATCATTATGAAATTGATACCTGAACAACTGTTGCGGTTACATAGGTAGGTAACCAAAATAATATTGATGAGGAAATCACTAAGTACTTATGTATTGCTTAATGCTTATCATCTATGACATATCTTAAGGCCGTTAGCCTACCTAATAATTGTTCTACAGTTTGACAATGGTGTCATCCTGACGACTAGGAATTGTAAACACTCAGCGTTGTGAATACTCATCAGTTCTTAAAGTAAAACGACATCAACTAGTGACACTTGATTAACAGTGAGTAATCACTAACCAGGCTTTTGAAGTATTTGTTGACAGCCCAGAAATAGTGCGCACTCATTATTTCGTCTATGACAAAAACTACCGGACAAATTAGGTCAAGGTTGAACAAAGTGACAAGGCATAAGAACATTTCACACAGTAATTTCTTCTCTTTTGAGCAGATCTTGTAGGCCTTGGAATTTGTGATTGAGAGCTATCCTGAATTCGTTGATTATGTCAGTATCTAGAATAAATGTTGTATTGAACTTTTGTTATGTTATATCCCCATTTGTTTGTTCTTTCGTCAGCCACCGTTTCATCCTGTCAACCACCAGGTGATGACCTCAAACTATGTCAGATCCTCTTCTGGCTCTTACGACTCTCATTATTCTTCCGATTTTTTTACTGATGTAAATATGATCGATCTGGTTTTGTGTAGTGTGATCCGATGAGACCCATGTAGCTCTGTGAATACGTTTGTGTGGGAATATACCACCATCTGTAATCATTTTATTGAATGAACATAAACTTTCAAATCTGTCACTATTCTCATTTTTTCCTCCCAGTTCATGTCGTCACATGATATCTTCATAACAGTTGTTGTCCATTCTGAGTCTGGCATTTAGATCATCCATCAGCTTGGTCATGTCCGTCTCTTGTGAGTTCCCTGTGAGTGGTTGGAGCGTCTCCTAGAATTCAACTTCATAGTGAAATACTTTGACTTTTTGTTCGCACGAACTGAAGTAATATTATGCACAACAATAATTCCTTTATAATCCACAAGTCTCGCGATTATGGTTATAGCAGCTCACATAGAATTGAGTTTGTTTACATCTAATTTGGCTAAGCCCTTTTGTCAACTTATTTTACGGACAGTCATTCGTACAACAACAACAACCTATTTATACTTTTGTACCTTTATTATGAACGCCTGTTCAGTGCACTGTACTGTACTCACTTACTCGATCAATTGTTCTCCCACTCACTCGCCTGCTTTACGGCACTACTCTTTCATGTTTGCTTAACGTGCCTGTAAATTTGGATATCTGTGTGTGGTCCAATAGTAAACGCAATCAACCCTTCGTATTCGCCTTCTGATTTCTACACCGTTAGGACGTTATCGAGTAACGGTTATCACAACGAACAATACACCATGTTAAAAGATAATATCGGATATCGACCACCGCATAGTTTCTTTCTTGTTTACAGCGATCAGAGCTCACTACAGTTTACTCAGAGGGTTTATTCAATAATAGATTATGTATGACGGAATGAAAACCATAATCAACATAAAAAGTTATATCTCAAAGAAGAAGTTGCAAACACATACGTTTTACAAACAAACTAGTTTTGTTAGCTGTTATATCATGCATCATCGATGTGTCTGGTTAATCATTTGTTCTATCCAAACGGCTACATTAACGACTAATAAAGAACATGTGTTCCTTCTAACTTCAAAAGATTTGTCAATGCATTATCTTGTTTACCAAAGTACTTCTGTTTGACATCATCTGACAAATATATTCCATACATTGCATCATAGATATCACATACTAATTGTAAATCTACCTGAAATGTAATTAACAAAGTTAGAAACTCGTTTTAGACTTTTGTTCAAATGAATAGTGAGGAGCAAATGTACAGCATGTTGATTCATATTCGGGTGAAAAAAATCGAAGGGCAGTTGATGCAAACCTCAATAGAAATCATGAATTGCATTGCAGAGCTTTCATTCATTTAAATACATGATTACTTGATTTTTGACTCCTTTCATGTTCAATAATTCCATCTTGATAAGAATTTGTGGCGATAATAGAAACGCCATAGTTTCTAAATCACAAACGTTCTAAAATCGGAGGCATTTCAAGGCTGTTTCACTTGAGTATAGAACTCCTTAGAATTGTGCAGTCACAGGCTCATCAAAAGAAATAGAACTCAGGAACTCTGTCTGGTCTCATATACAAACCTTTAATCCATATAGATCGCTAAGCTAGAAACCAGCGGTTTTTTTATATTTAACTTCAATCACTTCACTGAATTGTGCGTCTATCTCCCATTGTCTGAGATGGATAACTGTCTCACACCTGACGTAGTTGAATTCGATTATTCATGGATCCTACCCAGAACTGCTGTGCTGACAGATTATCATAATTCTTTAACTCAAATCTATTTGTGAGCTTTATACAACTTTTTCCCATTAACCACTATTACTTGTTCGTCACATAACTACTTATTTCTAACACCTTTGCTGTTTTGTTATTGTCTATGTTATATAATTTTGTGGTTAGCGTTTTTTTAGTGAGTTGGTTTTCTGCGAGACGGGGTCGCTTACCTGATGCCTAACCCTACTCCTTTACACGGGCTAGAGACTGACAGTAGCCCCAGAGGAGCTACAGGAGAAGTTGTTGTATAATTTTCATTCATATATAATTTTCTTACATACATGAAAACTCATGTTGATATGTACGGATTATAAATGCTTCCAGAAAAATTGATTTGTTTGGGTGTTTGGGTGTTCTGGTAATCTATTTTCTCTACCAACGTACGACTGCATGAGTGCTACATACTAATACATTAACGTTACAGTCGAAGAGATAAAGAATTTATCACTGAAGAATACAGATTGTTGTCTAGCTATTTATCGATAAATCATTGTAAATCTTTTGAAAAGTTTCCAAAGTTTTTGTTAAAATATAAAAGAGCAGTGCAAGCATTGAACATTGTCATTTAGAATGACCTAAAGTAACGTGAACACAATCATCACATATCTAAAGCCCATCATGCATCTGATATGTCGTCGTTTTGTATTCTATAATATTGATCTGTAACTAAGCATAATCCAAGAAATAATAACACGTCAGATAACTCCTCCATTTTGATTCAAATTAACCTCGTTAGAAATGAGTTAACTCAATACATAACTAGAAATTGTTAAGTATACACATTCCATAAAAAAGATCAGATTAACTGAAAGATATTAATTAGTCATTCAACCCAAAGGTTATGCTGATGATGTCATTCCGAAGGACGATGAAAGCCCCACGACCAAACCATCTAGCTCAGAGAACAAATTTACATCAAAATAGTCTTATAACAAATTTAAACTGAAAATGGATTAAGTATAACTAAAAAAGATTCATCCATATAAACTTACTTCTGAACGCAATATAAGTAAACGTTGAGCAGTTAACACACTGATGAGTTCTTTATGAAGTACATCATGAAATAATGTGGCGAAATACATTGGTTTGTTTACAGAATAAGTATCTGAAATGATTTAGGTGAAAATTAAGTTAAATAATATTGTCAAAGTTGAAATCATGAGTCAACTAAAGCTAGACCACCATTGAAAATCTAGAAGCCCTGGACGACCGTTTCGTTCTATTATGAGTCTCCTCAGCAGTGCGCATCCACGATCCCGCACTCAGCTGCTCAACAGTTGCTCAAAATGGTGGGTTGGTTGAAGTTAGATATTAATACCGCTGAATGCCGGCCTGCTCAGTGGTCTGTCGGTTAAGTGCTCTGGTGCGAGTCTGATAGGTCCTGAGTTCGAATCTCGTGAGTGCTGGATCGTGGATGCACACTGCAATAGGACGAAACAGCCGTCCAGTGCCTTCAGGTTTTCCACGGTGGTCTAGCTTCAATGGACTATTGATTTCAACAATGAAAATACTAAAATCTTCACATAACCCCTTCTGATCTATTTTTTTGAGCAATTTTTAGTAGACATGAAATAATCTTCATCAATATTCATATAAAATACCCTGACAAGTATATGGGTGACCAGATTGTACGAAACATATGGCGAGAATTCGTCAGGTTTTTCAGATCAACTCAATCTCTTCATTACTCTATCGAAAATAACATAAAACTAAGTTTAACAATTTATTCGTAATGGTTGTCTCAATATTCATATTGATTTTGAGCACTAGAATTTATCAGTCCAATATTGGTTGTGATGAACCTGTGAAGATCGCCCGTGAATTCACTTTAGCTTGCGTCAAACATAATCATGTAATAGACTTAGTTACCGAATCCAGATGGTCAACAGGTTATGCGTTGGGATGAAGAACAATATTCATCAAACTGTGGAAAGTAAAACTATTCAGTGCTTTTGAACATTCCAGTTAATATCAGTCAATCATGAAAGTAATTGAAATTAAATACATAACTATAGTACAATGTTAGGAATATGAGCATGCGAACTGTGTTGATTCTAGTTTCTTATACGTTTATAAGGTCTCAACCGACTATAAAACGTGAATATCAATGAGTAGGAACATAGTATGAAATTTTTTTAAAGTGAACGTAGTTACAGGAGTTATTTATTATTTATTTAAACACATAAATATTTGAACAAGGAAGCACCAGATATATATGCGTCACACGAATTTCATTTGATATTAGGGGGCCTTCGACCTAAAGATCTAATCCACATGGCAGTGGAGCATCGTAAGGAGATACAGTCCCATGGTAACCAGTGACCGACGATTGATTTATACGCAATTTGTTCCCTTAGGATATTTGAGCTCATGTGCTACATTGATTTGGAGTCAGGATTTTCCAACTCTTGGCCGTACCAGTGCGTTCGGGAGCGAAAATCTTTTGTTTGATATCGTGAATGTCGGATGCCTAAGAGCCACTTGATTAAACGTTAATCCTAGTGAATATTCAGGTAGTTCGATAATTGCACAATGTGAAAATGATCGTGTTAGCTTTCCAACTTTGTAAACAATCTAAAAACAAATTCCTATTAGCTAGAAGTTGTTTCAACATTTGCTTTTTTCTATAGATACAAAGGAACATTAATATTGAAGAGATTATTTATAAGGGTAATATGTAGTGAATAAGAACGTAATTTGCGACAGTCGAATGCATTTAAGCACAAACTATAAACCATCTTACTAAGATATGATAATCATACAGCAAATACTAAATTTGCAAAATAACAATCAATCGTCTCAATCATCACTGTTCCTTCTGTAAATATCAATCCATCGTCTCTAATTTCATTGTTTATGAATCCTCATATCAATTGCGCTTCATTGCAGTTCTTTCCTTATCGATCTTCTGACTATCACCTTATACTACTTCTGAGGATATAAGTAAACCACACCACAAATACACATCATTTTACTTTTCTGATGTGGGTTTGTTCTCTGAGCTGGATGGTTCAATATGAACCAATCAACATCGAGGTGCACAGTACAAGCTGTGAATCACATGTGGAGAAATCCAAACACTTCACTTTTATCCGAAGTCTGTGCTGATGATGTCATTCAGAAGGATGATGAAAGTTCCACGACCAAACCATCCAGCTCAGAGAACAAACCCACATCAAAATCATCCGACTGAGCTACAAATCTTCTTCACTATCTCAACATCATAAACCATTTGAAGCTTTTGGTACTGGATTGGAATTTTTATTCATTTACTCGGTTGATAGTTAACGAATACATGAATATCCATAGTATTTTTCTTTTGACCTCATCACATTCAGAATCCAAATAGTTTAAGGTTAAACACGAAACAAATAGTCATATGAATTTACTCACAAAGTGACAACAAGAGATCATGCATTTGACCAGATGATCTACGTTGAATAACTTCAGAAAATGTTCTTTTTAAATCCTTACAACAAAATAAAGTTAAAACAAATGAAATGGACACAATGAATAACAATACTGTAAAATGAACAATTTTGTTTTTTTATTATTATTTTGAAGCGATCAAAGCCTGACCACCGTCAGTGAAGAAAAATTCGATTTCCACCTCATATTAAATTTGGCGGCCTGTTTGATGTTCTGTGCAACCTGTTCCAGATATCAACACATCTCGAAAAGATCAGAAGGGGTTATGTGGATATTTTAGTATTTCAAAGAGTTGTGATCATTAGTCAATTGAAGCTAGACTGGTAGCTCCTGTGTTTGAATATCGCAAGTGCAGGGTCGTGGATGTGCACTGCTGAAGAGTCCCATAATAGAATGAAATGACCGACCAGTGCTTTCATGGTTGGCCATAGTGGTCTAACTTCAATTGACTCATCATCTCAACTCTATAAAATTACTAAAATCTCTACAAAATCCCCTCTGATAATGATCATGTGCGCACTAGTGACTGGCTCCATGAGGTATTTCCTGGAGTTCTAGTGAGAAGCAATAACCAGTAGAGCTCAACTAGGTTTGTTGGGAGATATCAGCAAACTGATGACATTGGTAAATGGTTGCCTATTTTCATGGATTGGTTGAAGTTAGACGTTAACACCGTTGGATGACCGCCGGCTCAGTGGTCTATCGGTTAAGTGCTCTGGCGCGAGACTGGTAGGTCGTGGGTTCGAATCTTGCAATTGCGGGATCGTGGATGAGCACTGCTGAGGAGTCTCATAATAGAGCGAAACGGCTGTTCAGTGCTTCCAGGTTTTCTTTGGTGGTCTAGTATCAATAGCCTCATGATCTCAACTATATAAATTTCTATATTATATGAAATATAAAATGTTGAATAAAGCTTTTATTAGTACTGATAGTATTAGTAATAATAGTGACTACAAATAATAAAGTGGACCTAATACTGTTTTCAAATATTCAGTGCAGGCTTCATACATACGACCAAACAGAAAAGCTGTCAGAATTAATGTTTCCAATATATATGAATAACACTGAGCTACCTATTTTCCAGACACATAAAGACTTAGGAGTCATCGTTAGTCAAAACTAAAAGACTACTGCACACTTCTGTGCAATAGCCATCAAAGGTTTTAGAACTTTGTGGTCCATACGTAGGGCTTTTAGTCATATCGACGCTATAACGTTTCTGACTTTGTATACAATGTTCGCGCGTCCTAAACTTGATCACTACATACAAGCGGTTAGCCCCTACCTAAAAAAAACAGCGAACTCTTGGAAAGGGTTCAGAGAACAGCAACTAAGCTGACTACCGGAATAGCGAAGCGCCCATATGATACTAGACTGACCAAGCCAAACCTATTCCTGTTGTCATGTCGAAAAATTAGAGGCGACTTGATTACCGTTTTCAAATTGCTTAGTGATAAATTTGCAACTGATATGTCCTGAGTTTTCTTGTGTTCCAAAACAGAAAATTTACGAGGATACTCCAAAAACGTTCAGAAACCCAAGAAGAATTTTTTGTTAGCTGACTATCAATTTTCTGATCGAATCATCAACGAGTGGATTTCATTACCTCAGCACATGGTTGAGGTTCCATTCTTCGACTCTTTCAAACAAAAGTGAGATCAACTGAGAGACCATAATTGCCAGGACTAACACAGGCCATCAAGCCTCCTGTCCTTTCCAATCTGAAACTGAAACTTATGTGAAAAAAGCCAATAGTATCAGTTGATATACTTACTTGTTGATACATCATTTCTAATGCTTCTAATTGAAATGGATTAAGTTTACATAGAAGTTTACCCAATTGTTGTTCAGTATCTTTCCTAAAACCAATAAAGTTCATGGTTTAATGAGAAAATCAATGTTTTAAATCAGAAAAAGGAGTTTGTATAAGAACTTTCGTCTAAATTAGAGCGAATAGTTTCACAGTGTTTGAGAGACGAGTTGATGTAAGACATTAAATAAGAATAACATATTTGACAATCTGGTCCAAGCTTTTTCAAGGAATTAATTCCTTGCCAGGCGAAACGTTGGATTCACTTCAAATTCATTCGCTGAGATTTTACAAATATATTATTCCTAAGAAAAAGGAGTCCGTGGATTGGTTGAAGTAAGACATTAACACCGTTGGATGACGGCTCAGTGGTCTATCGGTTAAGTGATGTTGCGCTGAAGACTGGTAGGTCCTGTGTTCGAATCTCGCTCGCAAGGTGGAACCCTGGATGTGCACTGTTGAGGAGTCCCATTTTAGGACGAAACGGTCGTCTACTGCTTCCAGGTTCTTGATGGTGGTCTTGCTTCAATTGATTCATGCTTTCAACAATGAAAATACTGAAATCTCCAGAAAAACCTCTCCTGATAACTAAATAACTAGTAGGGTGAAAGCATTGCTTTAACATGTTGAAACAAGAATGAACTTACGCTGAATTCTTCAGTTTCAATAAATCATGAAAAGTTTTATTCACTTCACTCATGTTAGCTATGGGTATACTAAATGTATCTTCGTTTGTTTCTTGTTTAATTTTAACTTTTTTTGTTTGAACTACACATTGTAGAAAATCTTCTGTTGGTTTTCCGAATCTTTCTTCTATACTCTTCCAGATTGATTCATTTGAATCTTTAAGGTGAAAAGATAGTTTATCAATTATGAATTGAAATATTGAAATAGAAGGGCAAAACATAATGTTATCTTCATTACGTTTTCGTTCTCCCTTTCTTGACTCAATTCTTAAAACCCGTCGACATTCTTTGTGTCGTGATGAAAATTACCACTAATCTATTATTATGTATCGGCCATATAAACAGAACATTATCTAAATATAACTTTAATTGCCAGGTATACCGTAGAATTAGTGACATTTACGATTCAGCATAAGGTTGTTAATCAGTCAAACAATAAAATTAGACAGTCTGTTCTTGGTTTCATTACCACGTGCTCTTACATGACAAAGCAATTTGATTATTGGGGAAACGACATTATATTGAACTGTGATTATCAAATAAATCAAAGAAAATTTGTAGTGTAGTGTGGGTTACTTATATCCACATAAGTAGTATATGATGATGGTCAGGCATAGAAGGAACAGTCAAGATTGAGACGATTGATTGGTAGTTCTTGTCCCATTTGATTGAACAATCTAAACTATAATGGTCTAAAGAAGTGAGGTCACACTTCAGATCTAAAAACAAGTCTCAGTAAGTAAAAATGAAATATGTACAGGTACGTACAAAACAAATCAATCAACACGAGAATGTCATAAATTCGAATTTGTTTCTGTCTCTTGTTTATACTCTGGACTCACGAAGCAAAGCAGTTTAATCACTTGAAGCTCTGCTCCAGGATCTTTATGAATTTCAGAATTGGAAATATATCTAGCTAAGATGTACCAAAAATGATAGGCATAATGTCATAGATTTCATTGTTACTTAGCATTACATAAATATTACTATCATATCTATAGTATTACTAACATAATTTATAAACATTTTTCACTTGATCGAATTCATCACCCCAGAAATCAATCAATAGACTGGTTGTGATTTGTATATTCGAAGTAGATATTGCTTTATATAATTCTTCTGCGAATAAAATTGATGTATCTGTCAATAGATCTTCAATTAATAGTTTCAAATTATTCGGTTGAATGTTCTCCATTTCTTTTATTAATGACTAAAGAATAAAGGAAACAAAGGGTAAAGTGAAGAATTATCAGAAGAAGTTTTGTGGAGATTTCTGCATTTTCATAGTTGAACGTTTGAGTCAATTGAATCTAGATCACTAGGGGAAACCTGGAAGTACTGGACGACCGTTTCATTCTATGGTGGGACTCCTCAGCATTGCGCATTCACGACTCCACCTCACGATATTCGAACCCAGAACCTATCAGTCTCGAGTGCGAGTGCAAGATCGTGTATACGCACTGCTGAGGAGTCCCATAATTGGACAAAACGACCGTCTGGTGCTTCCAGGTTTTCAGTGGTGGTCTCATGATTTCAACTATGAAAGATAATATGAGTCAGTTGAATGAGAATCAAGTGAAAAGTTCAACGATGTGAAATAAAAGGAGACTGGATGAATTGTGTGTGTGTATGTCTATGTAAGATAAGTTATCTATGAATGATATTCGGTGTTGCAATAAGGATACTTAAGAATAAGTCTGCGGCAACGTTACATGCTTTAGAAACGGGACACATGATTAATTTTGAAAGTGCCAAAATACTTCAGAAAGTTTTCAACACTGATAAAGAAAGATTGACGATCGGTAAAGTGCTCTGGCGCGAGAATGGCAGATCCTGCGTTCAAAACTCGCAAAGTGAGGTCGTAGGCACGCCCTGCTGTGGAGTCTCACAATAAGACGAAACGGCCGTCCAGTGTTTTCTTTGGTGGTCTAGCTTCAACTAACTCATGCTTTCAACTATATATTTCTTTGATGATTTTGATTTTGACTATTGCCCTGAAGAATTCCTAACAACTGAGCTGGACAAACGTTGGAATTATTTAAATTTCAATCGCTGAGACTATTTCAAATATAATTTTTTTCACATATAGTGAGTTTGTATACTCGTCCGGCCAATTTTTGTCAAGCTATTCGTTCGAAACTTGACGAATATTTGTATAAAATGTAATCCGTGTTCATTATGCATCAGATATCCTTCTTGTTATGAAACTCTATGATACAAATAGAAGGTGTAGTGTGTTTACGAATAATGAAGTTTAAACATCGCCATAACGTTTAAAATAAATCCCAACAAAGATGTATATTAACCTTGAATAATGTGAGGATATAGACCTTCGAAAACCATGCTACTCACAAAATGAGGTCATAAAACGTGGGAGTGAACAGTACCACATTTCTTATGAGGCCCCCGAATGCCCTGGTACGGTCGAGAGTGGGGAGAGTCCGCTCTCACTCTCGAAATGCTCTCACATAGCGACGCGTATATAGCCTCCGCCAGGGAAGTCCTACTCACTGTCTTCTCGTGGTATTACTGTTGTTTACAAAATTGAGAGGACGAAAAGCGAATTTCCAGCGCTTTAAACGGGTTGTTGGACATGGAAAACCACGATTCCAAACTAATGGTGTACATAAGCTCCAGTTTCTTGAGGGAACAAATGGCGTTTGAATCAATCGTTGGTCACCGGTTACCATGGGACTGCATCTCCTTAAGATGCTCCATTGCCTTATGGATCAGACCTTTAGGTCAAAGGCTACGGGTTTGACCCCCCAAGAAAACCACTTGCTTGGGTTTGGCCACCCGGTTAGTATCACAGCCCCCACACCAATCAAATGATACTTGAGTGGTGCATATATATCTGGTGCCTCTTTGTACCAACATTTATGGATTTAAATAAATAAATAATAAATGACATACAGAGAAAGGAAGTGTCAGTACAAAATATATTAATAAAGGGTTGATAATTATTCCAAAACATACCATTTCAAAAGTTTTGTAATAATGTACAATATGTTGACGTTGAGCATTTGTTCGTGTTAATAAAATTTGTAAAACCCGTTCATAGTTTTGTCCTACAAACGCATCAAAAAAGAATCGACTTGAAGTAGATCTATTAGCTGAACATAACTGTCATTAAGTATGAGTGGATCACCAAAACACGTTTAGGCAACGTTGTTTATATACCCTCTTAAAAATTTATAACAGAGTTATGTTATAAGCAAAGATGGATAGTGGCTAGCAGTGGAATTCAGGACGCGCGTCTCACCTTTTTTGGGGCTCGTCAGCTGGATGTACCTGCATCTCAGAGTTGACGTGGAAGGTACTGGGTTCGAGTCCCAGAATTAACATCAACTGTAAGATGCAAGTAGATCCAGCTGATGAGTCCCAAATAGGACGAAACGCGCGTCAAACTGGATTCCACTACTAGCCACTGTCCATCTTTGCTTACCATGCTTGTGAATTTAGTATGCACATTTGCCAATTAGAGACTGACCAGTTGCAGTCCTAACACATCAATGGAAAGATTCAAACAAACAATATTAAGTGAAGATATGTGTTATATCCCGACGACAATAATGAATGGTAACTTTTGAGAACAGTTTATGGACCAATACGATACATACATTTTTATTGTATAATGATTAAGTAACTAAACGATAGATACTCATGTTCCTCTTATTATAAGCTTTATTATGACCCATGTGTTATCATTATATGCTTTACCGTTCTTCAGTTATGCCTAGTCTATTAATTACATCCTCTTACATTCACAGACACTTTTGGCTATATCTTGTACAAATGTCATTTTCTATTTTATAGTGCGATGTTGTCATTTTCAGGTTTGTATGTAAACCCAACAAGCTTGAAATACATGTATCATATTGTTGAGTCTGAGATTGATGTTCTGCACTTAATAGGCAGTGTTAGGCAGGGAGAAGAACCGACAAATACTCCAGATTGTTTGTAAGGATTTTATGCGTCGATAATTCACTATTCTCCCTTATTAGCAATATTCAATCTCGATAGCATGTGATCAGATTGTTCAAAATGTATTGCGTTAATATCTCATCACATAGTTCTGATAATCTTCGTCTTCTTATAATACACTATCGAAATTTATCAATCGGACTAAATGCTACGGATATTTAATCCTTCTGTTTTTGGCCTAATCAAGTTTTATATATAGTTGACATCATCAGTCAATTGAATCTAGACCACCGTGGAAAACCTAGAAACACTGGACAGCGGGTTCGTCTTACTTTGGGACTCATCAGCAGTACGCACCCACGATCCAGCCTCACAAGATTTGAACCCGGGAAATACCGGTCTCGTGGCGGAGCACTTGACCGATCATATGCTCATTAGTGACTGACTCCATGAGGTATTTCCTGGAGATCTAGTGAGAAGCAATGACGAGTGGAGTTCAACCAGGTCTGTTGTGAGATATCAACTCACTGAAGAAAATTGGTGAAATGGTTGCTCAACTTGGTGGATTAGTTGAAGTTAGACATTAACACCGTTGGATGACGACAGGCTAAATGATCTATCGGTTAAGTGCTCTTGCGCGAGACTGGTAGATCCTGGGTTCGAATATCGTGAGGCGGGATCGTGTATGCTCACTGCTGAGGAGTCTCACAGTAGGACGAAACGGCCGACCAGTGTTTCTAGGATTTCCACGGTGGTCTAGGTTTAATTAACTCGTGATTTCAATTTTAAAAATATAATTACTTGAAATCTTCACAGAAAAGCCTCTCAACCAAGTTTTATATGAAATCACTAGTTTGAAACATTTTTACTATCATAATAATAGAGAATGAATATGAATAGAGTGACCGTGAAGCTGAGTGACACGGGACCGAATCCATCAGGGAGCATCAGTTCTCTCAAGTTTACAGGTACACCTTGCTGACAAGTGCCAAGTAGCACGAAACCCGGGTCTAGGGTTTCCTGTTGACCACCTCCAAACACCATCATATCTCAACATAGTTCAGGCAGTGTCGAGCCACCTAGATTAGTTGACACATTGCAACTTGATCGATAGCATTCGATCAGCACTAATAAGGACTTGACACGCATAACATTGGTCACCACTCAGTGAACAATCAATTGTGATGGATAGAGAATCATTTTATTAGAAACTATAAAAACTAAACTTACTTTTAATTTGATTTCTTATATTGTGGACATCATTAGAAGCACAAAATTTGTTACTGGGGACTATTTTTGGCTGATAAACATTTCCTTGTAAATCAATGTGATTTAATGGTGAACGAATAAATGTTGTTCTGAAAGAATACACAGAAATGGATTATATCTGGAAGTAAATCAGTTGTAACAATGAATCCATATGTGCCAAATGTTATTAACATGTGGTGAACTTGAGCTGACGTTCAGTGAAAGAATTAAGCTGATGAAAAGTGAAAGTTCCAAGACGTCTGGTAACATGTCCAGTTAGAACTAAGCTTGACTGTTAATCAAAGTACAGTGTATAAATGTTGATGAAGAAACTATTTTACGTCTTCATACTATGTAACGCACGAAATAAATTACAATGTAAAAAGCATTTACAATGTTTAATTTAGGTTTGCGCTTGTGTAGTTTCTTGTACTCTTTGTTAGTTTCGTTCATGATCCCTTAATTATCCTATCAGACACGTTTACTGCACAAAAGAAAGTGATATCGTCAATAAAATTCTTAGTTTGTAAGTTTCTTGAACGTTTCTCCAGCTTGTAAGTGATCTATCAGTTAGTCACAACGTAGGATCAAGCGCATATATGCATTGGTCTAAGTTGCCATACCTCATTAGCACAACAAGATGAACATCAAATTCATAGAAATAGTTACTTCAATGATAGTAGGTTATATCTAAAACATATTGTGCTGCGGATCTTGAGTCAAGTATTCTTATATCTGGTATTCGTTTATTCGACATTTAAAAGCTGTAAGGAATCTCTTTAATGTATCTGCGCAATACTTATAGCGTGAATGAAAGCACTAAACAACCTCTTATGTCTGTATAAAGACAGGTTACAGAGTTACATATTAAAATGATGATGGAAGCAGTTGAAAGTGAATAGGAATATGGAGGGCAATAAAGACAGTTCAGAAGCTTTTTAAATATATTATGATCACAACCACACTTCTCTAGGAAAACAACTGAAAAAGCAAGAGTAAGAAGAGGCTGCTTCATTCTAACAACAAAATGCTTAGAGATGTGCAACCAAGATTCAATCGAACAGAGTCAAATTGATGAATGCCGATCTGGAATGTGAATGCTCAGCCTCTAGTCGATTGAGCGAACATCACATGATTCGCTTCTAATGTTTGTCACAAGCAAATAAATCATGTGCATCAATGTGCTGATGTGATGAAATTCGGATTCTGCTGAGACCACGAGTTTGTTGGCAAAAAGAAATCTACACACAGAATACAATAGAAGATGGTCACACAATATATTTGATTGGTGCTATTAAGACATGTTTAGCATGGAAAACTTGTCAGGTGGTACATTGGCAAAACGTTCGCATTCCAGATCGAAGATCTTCAGTTCAGATCTCTTGTTTTTCACGATCATGGATACACACAACTGAGAAGTTCTATACAAATACAAAACGGCATGCTGGTGTTTCCATTTCTACAATTGTTGTCTGTCAAATATCCGTTTTTCAACTCAATATAAATCAAGGATCTGGATGTCACACACCAATAATATAAATTCAATTGACTAAACATCAATATTCTTAAGAAAATTTGTGTTTGATGTAGTTACACTTACACTTGTTTATCATATGACTGTAAGAAAAAATATAAATCAATGTATGAATTCATTGGATAAATCGTTCGTCCATAATATAATAACTACATAAACTGATGAATGACGTTATCCATCTTTAAACGGAACCAAACTTTGATCAGTTTGCAACCACATCTCACTATTACCAAGCGAAATTGAACACTCTAGCAAAACACTTCGGATCCGTTGACTAAAAACTGTCATCAACAACCTACAGTGAGTCAGAACAAACCAGATTCCGGAGGAAAGCAGAACACCACATAATTAGGCAAGCCTTCACATAGAATCCTCAGGGCCAAAAGAAGAGAAGATAAAAGAATAAATTACTCCGAGAAATTGAGAGAGACATAATGAGAATGAACAACAATTGGACAGAACTAGAAAGGAAGGCCCAGGACAGAGTGACTTGAAGAATGTTGATCGACGGCATAGGCTCCATTGTGTATAACAGGCGTAAATAAGTAAGTAGGTAAGCACTCAATCGATAATCTTGACTACTGAGTCTTCATCTTTATTCACAAATAAGAGCTATGAAATAATGAAATAAGCGTTTGGATTCAATTGGACAAATTCACAAACTTTGATCAGTTTATAACCCCATCTCTCTATTACCAAATGAAATTGAACACCCTTGTATTTTGTTTACATTCTGTAAAGCTTCAATAGATAAGAAAAGTACTGTCGTGTTGTTCAGCATAGAAATTAGCAACGGAGCATATTCGCTTATCACTCCTTATCTATGCTTGTTTTCAGTAAATGTTACGTTGAACAATATTCTTGCAATAGCACATACTTAAGTCAGGTTATTGATTCGTCAATCATTAACATAATATAACATTAAATTCATTCAACATTTTTGTTTCACTCACAAGGATCGACCAACAACAGAAATTCAACTCTCAAAGATAAGCTTTATAAATCGTTAGACAAAACAGTCAGGCTTGTTGGCAATGGAACTCGATTTCCGACTAATGATAATGTTTTACATAATCATACATGTAGCACATTAAAATCGGATAATTACAATTTAGTTTACCTGAATTATCTTTAATGTGGTTTCTAAAAGAATGAAAATAATCAAAGTATCATGTGTTCATTCATTCAGTTTATCTATCATCAGAAAGGTTTTTGTGTAGATTTAGTACTTTTCATAGTTGAAAGCGTTAGTCATTTGAAGCTAGATCACCATGGCAAACCTTGAAACACTGGACGGCCGTTTCGTCCCTTTATGGGATTCTCGAGATTCGAACCCAGGACCTACCAGTCTCGAGCAAGAACCCTGAAGACAATTGGTGAATGGTTGCTCAACTTCGTGGATCAGTTGAAGTTAGACATTAACATTGTTGGATGCCAGCTCGGTGGTCTATCGGTTTAGGGCACTGACTCGATACTCGTAGGTCCTGAGTTCGAATCTCGCGAGTGCAGGTTCGTGGATGTTGTAAGGCTGGTCAAATGTCACTGACTTCCAGCCAAATCATCCGGCATTTGGGTCACTAGATATCGAACAGATCATCGATCCTGTCAAGATCAAGGACAGTCAACGCGCATCAGTTAATCATACGTCATGGACTAGCCCATGCGGCAGTGGCTCTATTTTCGCTTGTATCTACTTTAACTAATATATTCCTGTATTAACGTCCTTTGTGTTGTACAGTCTTCAGAGCATCTGTGGTCACTTGATACATCAATGGGGCACTCCACGTAAGGTGCTGGTCACGAGGTGTGACTACGAAGTTAGCTGGTTCGTTACACCGTCCCCGTCAAACTCGAGTAGGCCTCCAAACATTTGACATAGATCATCAACGTTGATGGTCCATAATGTACACTGCTGAGGAGTCCCATAATAGAACGAAACGGCCGTCCAGTGTTTCCGGGTTTTCCATGTTGGTCTAGCTTCAATTGACTGACGCTTTCAATTATCTATCATCACCAGTTTGACAAATGCATATTCAGCTATCAAGCCCTACAAATACACTCAACTCATTAGTATTCACAGGGATCTATAGATTTACTTATGAATTTTCTATAGAGTAAGAAAAACTTATTCTCATTCATTAATACTTATAGGTTAGCTTACTTTTTGTTTCATTTCCTATTCTATAGATATCCTCTACAGTGAGCATTGGATGAGTCACAATTTCTGTCAGACTAATGATTTCTTCAGTAGTGATATAATCTGTTGTTAAATTCATGAGTTGTTGTCTGAAAAGAAGAAAAATGAAATTATTTGTGCGACCAAACAACTTAAAAGCATCTTCAAATACATATTTACTTAGTATGATAAAATACCTGATATTGGATACTTTTGATATTTGTGATATACCATCCTAAAGAAAGAAATAAGCTGACTAAAATCAGAAGTAAAAATTATTTATCACGATATTCTTTAGCGAATTTGTACAAAGATCAGTATTTTTACTAAATTTGGGAGTATTGTAAGCAGGATGGATAAAGGCTAATAGTGAAATCCAGGAAGTGCGCTTTCTTCTATTTAGGACTCATCAGTTGGATGTTAACTATGGGACTCGAACACAGTACCTTATGCTTCAAACGCCATCGCGTTCAAACAAACAATACCAAGTGAATTGAAATCACGATTGTTTATCAGTACACGTTGAGGTAAGCTTAACTTACATCAATTTGATTTCAACCATCCAGTCATATTTTCACTTTAGTAAATACCACACACTTAAAGCTTACCCTGTTTCATTTGGTTTATGTATGCGAAGGTGCATTCACTCCTTGGATAATACTCATTCAATAACATCTTCAAACTCTAATCCTTCGGTTTACTACTTATACTCTTACCACTTCCAACACCATGAGATTTGAATCGACAACTACATCTCTGTGATAATGTGGTATGGCAACTCGAACTGATGAACATACGTACGAAGTTCTACGTTGCAACTAGCTGAATGATTGAATGAAATTCTTTGTTATTTAGGATTGTAAACCATAGATTTTGATCATCAAATGTATCTAGGTATCGTGATAATTTGTTCCAATCGTCGACCGACCTAAAGTTCTGATGTCACAAAGATAACTTTGATGGTTTCCACCACTGACAGTATACTGTATAGATCAGTGTGATTTCTTATTCCAAATAGCATACTGATCATTGACACTGATGTGTTTGAGTGAACACAAAGTCAAATATTCACTCATTTTGTAGAGTATATTTCTATTACCAGTCATCAATGTATGTACACATCCACGACGCTCCTAAGTCAGTCAGAATGTCATAGCTTTATTCAAATCAACAAAACATTTTGTTGCAGTTATACTTAAATTGGATCTTCGTTTACTTAAAAAAAATTAGAATCGTTTGTGAAGAAATTTCAGATTTCCAAGAAAAAGGACACACTGTGTCACTGGAACAGAATAGAGATTATTTAGTGATTCGATGATTCCAATATCACTTTGAACCTCTGAGAAATCTTTAGATCAACCGTACTAGTTATTTCACGATTGTATTACCCATATGAATTACATTACAAAGATATCTTCCTACGACTTATACCAGCTTTATCGGAGGTCTGCATCCACGATTCCGCCAAATAGAGTTATTGTGATATATTGAAATTACTAACACCAATAATGAGATTCAATCAACCAATAAAAGTCAATGCACATATACTTTAATTGATAAGCTTCTCATTCGGATTATGATTCTTGGTTTGGGTTTTACCCTTAATAAGCTACATTTATTGAAGAGTTGAAAATTGCAAATCTGTGCTTTCAAGACATTTCAATAATTAAATTACTACAGTCATCGTCTATTCAGTTATGCATAAAGATTAATTGTAGGCACCTTTGATGGGATTATACTTACGTTGGTTCATTGTGTAACTGTTAATAGACGACAAGGTAAAAAAATGATTATGAATACAGTCGTTCATAAATCTTAGAAGAAATTAAGGGAAAAGTAGTATTGATTTCAGAACATTTGACCTATTAATTTTGTTACTATGGAATGATCTCAACATAGTGCACACAGTGTCGAGTCACCTGGACTAGTGGCCACATTGCAACTTGATCGATAGCATTCGATCAGCACTAAGAAGGGGTTGGCACACATGACATTGATCACTACCCAATGATCAATCAAGCGTGATATCTATCCCTTTTTGACTTTTACTAAATAGGTATTTTAAAGCATGATCAATCGGTCTAATAATACTCCTTTGTATGAAACGCTCTAGAAGCCAATTCCTGAGATGTTTTTGTACATTTAAACCATTGGATTAGACCATAATGTTGCGGTTATCAATCTCAGATAAAGAGATCAGTTTTATGTGGATATCAATGTCAGTCAGTCAACTTCAACTTACTTACTTACTTACTTTCGCCTGTTACACCCAATGGAGCATAGGCCGCCGACCAGCTTTCTCCAACCCACTCTGTCCTGGGCCTTCTTTTCTAGTTCTTTCCAGTTCTTGTTCATTCTTCTCATGTCTGTCTACATTTCTCGGCGTAATGTGTTCTTTGGTCTTCCTCTTCTCCTTCGACCTTCAGGATTCCATGTGAGGGCTTGTCTTGTGACACAATTGGGTGATTTCCTCAAAGTGTGCCCAATCCACTTCCAGCGCTTCTTCCTGATTTCTTCCTCCGCTGGAATCTGGTTTGTTGTCTCCCACAGTAACTTGTTGCTGATAGTGTCTGGCCATCGGATCCGAAGTATCTTGCGTAGACAGCTGTTAATAAACACTTGTATCTTCTGGATAATGGCTTTCGTAGTTCTCCACGTCTCTGCCCCATACAGAAGAACTGTCTTGACATTTGTATTAAAAATTCTAACCTTGGTGTTGGTTGACAATTGTTTTGAGCTCCAGATGTTTTTCAACTGTAGGTATGCTGCTCTTGCTTTGCCGATCCGCGCCCTCACATCTGCATCTGATCCACCGTGTTCATCAATGATGCTGCCCAGATATGTAAAGATTTCCACATCCTCCAAAGCTTCTCCGTCAAGTGTTATTGGATTGGTGCATATTGTATTGTATCGGAGAGTCTTGCTTTTCCCTTTGTTTATATTGAGACCTACTGCTGCTGAGGCTGCTGCTACACTGGTCGTTTTCTCCTGCATTTGTTGTTGCGTTTGTGATAGAAGAGCCAGATCATCCGCGAAGTCTAAATCGTCAAGCTGCATCCTGCCTGTCCACTGTATCCCGTGCATTCCTCCAGATGTTGACGTCTTCATAATCCAGTCGATGACCAGGAGAAAGAGAAAGGGTGAGAGTAGGCAACCTTGCCTAACACCGGTCTTTACCTCGAACGAGTCGGTGAGTTGTCCTCCGTGGACGATTTGGCAGTTTAGTCCATCATAGGAGTTCCGTATGATGTTGACTATCTTCTCAGGCACGCCGTAGTGTCGAAGAAGCTTCCATAGTGTCGTCCTGTCCACGCTATCAAATGCCTTCTCGTAGTCGATGAAGTTGATGTACAGTGATGAATTCCATTCGATTGATTGTTCCACAATGGTACGTAGAGTTGCGATTTGATCTGTGCACGATCTATCCTTACGAAATCCAGCTTGTTGATCTCGAAGTTGAGCGTCCACGGAATCCTTCATCCTGTTTAACAATACTCTGTTGAAGACTTTTCCTGGTCAACTTCAACTGTCCAAACTAAAATCGAAATACGAATTTTGACAAAACGTTGTTCTTTTATGTTTCGAGCAGTTATTGTTTGTCAAATGTGTTCTAAATTCTTTGATATGAATGCACCAATCTACGAACCAGGAGAAGCTTCAACGTATCAACTGCTATCCTATTCTTGAAACGTTTTTTCAGTTGAACTGATGTGAAGTCATCTCAGTCGTTCAGTCGTGTTGAATTACAGTGTTATTGACAAGGGATCAATTTCGCGACTACATGTATCCATATATACTTTAGCTCATTTTATTAATAAGTTATATTTCACCTTCATTATTTTCATAGACTGGAAATGGGAGGGTAAGAGCAGAACTTTTATTTGTATATATAAATGTTCTTAACAAGTATATTATGTGTGATCAGATTGTTCGAAATGTATAGCGCTAATATCTCATCACATAGTTCTTATAATCCTCGTCTTCTTATATTACACTATCGAAATGAGTGAACGAATTTTATATAGTTAAGATCATGATTCAATTGAAGTCAGACCACCGTGGAAAACCTGGAAGCACTGGACGACCGTTTCGTCGTAATGTGTGACGGCCGTCCAGTGCTTCCAGGTTGGATAGAACTAGAAAGGATGGCCCAGGACAGAATAGGTTGGAGAATGCTTATCGACGGCTGAGGTTCCATTTGGTGTAACAGGCATTAGTAAGCCCTCAATCCATAATCTTAACCACTGATTCCTCAAATTATCAATACGTACTATGAATTGATGAAAGAAGCGTTTTGATTCAATCGGACAAATACACAAACTTTGATCAGTTTACGATCACATCACTCTATTACTAAATGAAATTGAACACTCTTGTATTTTGTATGCATTCTGTAAGGCTTCCATCCATAAGAGGAGAACAACTCTAATGTTGTTCAGCATAGAAATTATCAACAAGGCATATTCACTCATCAGTCAGTATATATGCTTGTTTTCAGTAAATGTCACGTCGAACATTAATCTTACAATACCATATACTTAAGTCAGGCTATTGATTCGTCAATCACTATCATAAATATCTACCAACAACATAACTTCAACTATGAGAGATAAGCTTTGTAAATCGTTAGACAAAACAGTCCGGCTTGTTGATGATAGCTGACCTGTATTGTTGGCCATGGAACTGGATTTCCCACTAATGTTAATGTTTTACATAATCATACGTGTAACATAATAAAATCGGATAATAACAATTTAGTTTACCTGAATTACCTTTAATGTGGTTTCTAAAAGAATGAAAACAATCAAAGTAGCATGTGTTCATTCAATCAGTTTATCTATAATGACCAGTTTGACAAATGCATATTCAGCTAATGAGCCCTAAAAATACACTCAACTCATTAGTATTCGTAGAGATCTATCGATTTACTTATTACTTACTTACTTTACTTACGCCTGTTACTCCTTGTAGAGAAGCGTAGGCCACACACCAGTATTCTCCATTCAACTCTGTCCTTAGCAATCCTTTCCAGATCTTTCCAGTTAACGTGCATTCTTTTCATATCTGCTTCTATTTCCCGACGTAATGTGTTCTATGGCCTTCCTCTTTTCCGCTTCCCTTCCGGATTCCACGTTAGGGTTTGCCTCGTAATACACATTGGTGATTTCCTCAATGTATGTCCTATCCACATCCAACGTCTTTTCCTAATTTCCTCTTCAGCTGGAAGTTCGTTGGTCCTCTCCTATAAAACGCTGTTGCTGATAATATCCGGCCAATGATTGTTGAGTATTTTGCGAATACAACTGTTTGTTAATACTTGTACCTTCTTGACGATGGATGTAGTAGTTCTCTTTACGTTTCAGCTCCGTACAGTAGGACTGTCTTGACGTTCGTATTGAAGATTCTCACTTTCAATTTAGTTGACAGTTGTTTTGAGTTCCATATGTTCTTCAGTTGTAGAAATGCGATCCTTGCTTTGTCAATCCTCGCCTTTACATCTGCATCTGTACGTCCTTATTTATCAACGATGCTCCCCAGGTAAGTGAATTTTTCCACCTCTTCCAGAGTTTCGTCATCAAGTGTGATTTGGTTGTTGTTCTCCGTGTTGTATTTCAAAATCTTGATTTGTACTTTGTGAATGTGAGGGCCTATTGATGCAGAGACTACTGCTACATTTGCTATCTTCATCTGTATTTGTTCGTGCGAAGGTGATAGGAGGGCTAGGTTATCTGCCAAGTGAAAATCATCTTAATGATTCTCAGATGGCCATTGTATTCCATGTTTACCCTCAGACGTCAAAGTCTTCAAAATGCAGTCAATCATTAGAAGAAAGAGGAAGTGGGAGAGTAGACAATTTACTTATAAGGTTTATATAGATAAAGAAAAACTTATTCTCATTCAGTAATACCAATAGGTTAGCTTACGTTCTGTTTCATTTCCTGTTCTATAGATATCTTGTACAGTGAACATTGAGTGGGTAACATTTTCTGTCGGACTAATGATTCCTTCAGTAGTGATATAATCTGTTGTTGCATTAATGAACTGTGGTCTGAAAAGAAGCAAAATGAAATTATTTGTGCAAACAAACAACTTAAGAGCATCTCCAAATACTTATTTATACAAAATACTCGATAGTGAGTACTACTGAAATTCGTGATATACCAACCGAAAGAAAGAAGTTAGCAAGCCTCGATATGGCCTAAATTAACAAGCATAGTAAGCAAAGATGGATAGTGACTAATAGTGAAAAACAGGATGCGCGTTTCGTCCTATTCGAGACTCGTCAGCCGGGTGTACCTCCATCTCACAGTTGATGATCACTATGGGACTCGAACACAGTACCTTATGCTTCAAACGCCATCGCGTTCAAACAAACAATACCAAGTGAATTGAAATCACGATTGTTTATCAGTACACGTTGAGGTAAGCTTAACTTACATCAATTTGATTTCAACCATCCAGTCATATTTTCACTTTAGTAAATACCACACACTTAAAGCTTACCCTGTTTCATTTGGTTTATGTATGCGAAGGTGCATTCACTCCTTGGATAATACTCATTCAATAACATCTTCAAACTCTAATCCTTCGGTTTACTACTTATACTCTTACCACTTCCAACACCATGAGATTTGAATCGACAACTACATCTCTGTGATAATGTGGTATGGCAACTCGAACTGATGAACATACGTACGAAGTTCTACGTTGCAACTAGCTGAATGATTGAATGAAATTCTTTGTTATTTAGGATTGTAAACCATAGATTTTGATCATCAAATGTATCTAGGTATCGTGATAATTTGTTCCAATCGTCGACCGACCTAAAGTTCTGATGTCACAAAGATAACTTTGATGGTTTCCACCACTGACAGTATACTGTATAGATCAGTGTGATTTCTTATTCCAAATAGCATACTGATCATTGACACTGATGTGTTTGAGTGAACACAAAGTCAAATATTCACTCATTTTGTAGAGTATATTTCTATTACCAGTCATCAATGTATGTACACATCCACGACGCTCCTAAGTCAGTCAGAATGTCATAGCTTTATTCAAATCAACAAAACATTTTGTTGCAGTTATACTTAAATTGGATCTTCGTTTACTTAAAAAAAATTAGAATCGTTTGTGAAGAAATTTCAGATTTCCAAGAAAAAGGACACACTGTGTCACTGGAACAGAATAGAGATTATTTAGTGATTCAATGATTCCAATATCACTTTGAACCTCTGAGAAATCTTTAGATCAACCGTACTAGTTATTTCACGATTGTATTACCCATATGAATTACATTACAAAGATATCTTCCTACGACTTATACCAGCTTTATCGGAGGTCTGCATCCACGATTCCGCCAAATAGAGTTATTGTGATATATTGAAATTACTAACACCAATAATGAGATTCAATCAACCAATAAAAGTCAATGCACATATACTTTAATTGATAAGCTTCTCATTCGGATTATGATTCTTGGTTTGGGTTTTACCCTTAATAAGCTACATTTATTGAAGAGTTGAAAATTGCAAATCTGTGCTTTCAAGACATTTCAATAATTAAATTACTACAGTCATCGTCTATTCAGTTATGCATAAAGATTAATTGTAGGCACCTTTGATGGGATTATACTTACGTTGGTTCATTGTGTAACTGTTAATAGACGACAAGGTAAAAAAATGATTATGAATACAGTCGTTCATAAATCTTAGAAGAAATTAAGGGAAAAGTAGTATTGATTTCAGAACATTTGACCTATTAATTTTGTTACTATGGAATGATCTCAACATAGTGCACACAGTGTCGAGTCACCTGGACTAGTGGCCACATTGCAACTTGATCGATAGCATTCGATCAGCACTAAGAAGGGGTTGGCACACATGACATTGATCACTACCCAATGATCAATCAAGCGTGATATCTATCCCTTTTTGACTTTTACTAAATAGGTATTTTAAAGCATGATCAATCGGTCTAATAATACTCCTTTGTATGAAACGCTCTAGAAGCCAATTCCTGAGATGTTTTTGTACATTTAAACCATTGGATTAGACCATAATGTTGCGGTTATCAATCTCAGATAAAGAGATCAGTTTTATGTGGATATCAATGTCAGTCAGTCAACTTCAACTTACTTACTTACTTACTTTCGCCTGTTACACCCAATGGAGCATAGGCCGCCGACCAGCTTTCTCCAACCCACTCTGTCCTGGGCCTTCTTTTCTAGTTCTTTCCAGTTCTTGTTCATTCTTCTCATGTCTGTCTACATTTCTCGGCGTAATGTGTTCTTTGGTCTTCCTCTTCTCCTTCGACCTTCAGGATTCCATGTGAGGGCTTGTCTTGTGACACAATTGGGTGATTTCCTCAAAGTGTGCCCAATCCACTTCCAGCGCTTCTTCCTGATTTCTTCCTCCGCTGGAATCTGGTTTGTTGTCTCCCACAGTAACTTGTTGCTGATAGTGTCTGGCCATCGGATCCGAAGTATCTTGCGTAGACAGCTGTTAATAAACACTTGTATCTTCTGGATAATGGCTTTCGTAGTTCTCCACGTCTCTGCCCCATACAGAAGAACTGTCTTGACATTTGTATTAAAAATTCTAACCTTGGTGTTGGTTGACAATTGTTTTGAGCTCCAGATGTTTTTCAACTGTAGGTATGCTGCTCTTGCTTTGCCGATCCGCGCCCTCACATCTGCATCTGATCCACCGTGTTCATCAATGATGCTGCCCAGATATGTAAAGATTTCCACATCCTCCAAAGCTTCTCCGTCAAGTGTTATTGGATTGGTGCATATTGTATTGTATCGGAGAGTCTTGCTTTTCCCTTTGTTTATATTGAGACCTACTGCTGCTGAGGCTGCTGCTACACTGGTCGTTTTCTCCTGCATTTGTTGTTGCGTTTGTGATAGAAGAGCCAGATCATCCGCGAAGTCTAAATCGTCAAGCTGCATCCTGCCTGTCCACTGTATCCCGTGCATTCCTCCAGATGTTGACGTCTTCATAATCCAGTCGATGACCAGGAGAAAGAGAAAGGGTGAGAGTAGGCAACCTTGCCTAACACCGGTCTTTACCTCGAACGAGTCGGTGAGTTGTCCTCCGTGGACGATTTGGCAGTTTAGTCCATCATAGGAGTTCCGTATGATGTTGACTATCTTCTCAGGCACGCCGTAGTGTCGAAGAAGCTTCCATAGTGTCGTCCTGTCCACGCTATCAAATGCCTTCTCGTAGTCGATGAAGTTGATGTACAGTGATGAATTCCATTCGATTGATTGTTCCACAATGGTACGTAGAGTTGCGATTTGATCTGTGCACGATCTATCCTTACGAAATCCAGCTTGTTGATCTCGAAGTTGAGCGTCCACGGAATCCTTCATCCTGTTTAACAATACTCTGTTGAAGACTTTTCCTGGTCAACTTCAACTGTCCAAACTAAAATCGAAATACGAATTTTGACAAAACGTTGTTCTTTTATGTTTCGAGCAGTTATTGTTTGTCAAATGTGTTCTAAATTCTTTGATATGAATGCACCAATCTACGAACCAGGAGAAGCTTCAACGTATCAACTGCTATCCTATTCTTGAAACGTTTTTTCAGTTGAACTGATGTGAAGTCATCTCAGTCGTTCAGTCGTGTTGAATTACAGTGTTATTGACAAGGGATCAATTTCGCGACTACATGTATCCATATATACTTTAGCTCATTTTATTAATAAGTTATATTTCACCTTCATTATTTTCATAGACTGGAAATGGGAGGGTAAGAGCAGAACTTTTATTTGTATATATAAATGTTCTTAACAAGTATATTATGTGTGATCAGATTGTTCGAAATGTATAGCGCTAATATCTCATCACATAGTTCTTATAATCCTCGTCTTCTTATATTACACTATCGAAATGAGTGAACGAATTTTATATAGTTAAGATCATGATTCAATTGAAGTCAGACCACCGTGGAAAACCTGGAAGCACTGGACGACCGTTTCGTCGTAATGTGTGACGGCCGTCCAGTGCTTCCAGGTTGGATAGAACTAGAAAGGATGGCCCAGGACAGAATAGGTTGGAGAATGCTTATCGACGGCTGAGGTTCCATTTGGTGTAACAGGCATTAGTAAGCCCTCAATCCATAATCTTAACCACTGATTCCTCAAATTATCAATACGTACTATGAATTGATGAAAGAAGCGTTTTGATTCAATCGGACAAATACACAAACTTTGATCAGTTTACGATCACATCACTCTATTACTAAATGAAATTGAACACTCTTGTATTTTGTATGCATTCTGTAAGGCTTCCATCCATAAGAGGAGAACAACTCTAATGTTGTTCAGCATAGAAATTATCAACAAGGCATATTCACTCATCAGTCAGTATATATGCTTGTTTTCAGTAAATGTCACGTCGAACATTAATCTTACAATACCATATACTTAAGTCAGGCTATTGATTCGTCAATCACTATCATAAATATCTACCAACAACATAACTTCAACTATGAGAGATAAGCTTTGTAAATCGTTAGACAAAACAGTCCGGCTTGTTGATGATAGCTGACCTGTATTGTTGGCCATGGAACTGGATTTCCCACTAATGTTAATGTTTTACATAATCATACGTGTAACATAATAAAATCGGATAATAACAATTTAGTTTACCTGAATTACCTTTAATGTGGTTTCTAAAAGAATGAAAACAATCAAAGTAGCATGTGTTCATTCAATCAGTTTATCTATAATGACCAGTTTGACAAATGCATATTCAGCTAATGAGCCCTAAAAATACACTCAACTCATTAGTATTCGTAGAGATCTATCGATTTACTTATTACTTACTTACTTTACTTACGCCTGTTACTCCTTGTAGAGGAGCGTAGGCCACACACCAGTATTCTCCATTCAACTCTGTCCTTAGCAATCCTTTCCAGATCTTTCCAGTTAACGTGCATTCTTTTCATATCTGCTTCTATTTCCCGACGTAATGTGTTCTATGGCCTTCCTCTTTTCCGCTTCCCTTCCGGATTCCACGTTAGGGTTTGCCTCGTAATACACATTGGTGATTTCCTCAATGTATGTCCTATCCACATCCAACGTCTTTTCCTAATTTCCTCTTCAGCTGGAAGTTCGTTGGTCCTCTCCTATAAAACGCTGTTGCTGATAATATCCGGCCAATGATTGTTGAGTATTTTGCGAATACAACTGTTTGTTAATACTTGTACCTTCTTGACGATGGATGTAGTAGTTCTCTTTACGTTTCAGCTCCGTACAGTAGGACTGTCTTGACGTTCGTATTGAAGATTCTCACTTTCAATTTAGTTGACAGTTGTTTTGAGTTCCATATGTTCTTCAGTTGTAGAAATGCGATCCTTGCTTTGTCAATCCTCGCCTTTACATCTGCATCTGTACGTCCTTATTTATCAACGATGCTCCCCAGGTAAGTGAATTTTTCCACCTCTTCCAGAGTTTCGTCATCAAGTGTGATTTGGTTGTTGTTCTCCGTGTTGTATTTCAAAATCTTGATTTGTACTTTGTGAATGTGAGGGCCTATTGATGCAGAGACTACTGCTACATTTGCTATCTTCATCTGTATTTGTTCGTGCGAAGGTGATAGGAGGGCTAGGTTATCTGCCAAGTGAAAATCATCTTAATGATTCTCAGATGGCCATTGTATTCCATGTTTACCCTCAGACGTCAAAGTCTTCAAAATGCAGTCAATCATTAGAAGAAAGAGGAAGTGGGAGAGTAGACAATTTACTTATAAGGTTTATATAGATAAAGAAAAACTTATTCTCATTCAGTAATACCAATAGGTTAGCTTACGTTCTGTTTCATTTCCTGTTCTATAGATATCTTGTACAGTGAACATTGAGTGGGTAACATTTTCTGTCGGACTAATGATTCCTTCAGTAGTGATATAATCTGTTGTTGCATTAATGAACTGTGGTCTGAAAAGAAGCAAAATGAAATTATTTGTGCAAACAAACAACTTAAGAGCATCTCCAAATACTTATTTATACAAAATACTCGATAGTGAGTACTACTGAAATTCGTGATATACCAACCGAAAGAAAGAAGTTAGCAAGCCTCGATATGGCCTAAATTAACAAGCATAGTAAGCAAAGATGGATAGTGACTAATAGTGAAAAACAGGATGCGCGTTTCGTCCTATTCGAGACTCGTCAGCCGGGTGTACCTCCATCTCACAGTTGATGATCACTATGGGACTCGAACACAGTACCTTATGCTTCAAACGCCATCGCGTTCAAACAAACAATACCAAGTGAATTGAAATCACGATTGTTTATCAGTACACGTTGAGGTAAGCTTAACTTACATCAATTTGATTTCAACCATCCAGTCATATTTTCACTTTAGTAAATACCACACACTTAAAGCTTACCCTGTTTCATTTGGTTTATGTATGCGAAGGTGCATTCACTCCTTGGATAATACTCATTCAATAACATCTTCAAACTCTAATCCTTCGGTTTACTACTTATACTCTTACCACTTCCAACACCATGAGATTTGAATCGACAACTACATCTCTGTGATAATGTGGTATGGCAACTCGAACTGATGAACATACGTACGAAGTTCTACGTTGCAACTAGCTGAATGATTGAATGAAATTCTTTGTTATTTAGGATTGTAAACCATAGATTTTGATCATCAAATGTATCTAGGTATCGTGATAATTTGTTCCAATCGTCGACCGACCTAAAGTTCTGATGTCACAAAGATAACTTTGATGGTTTCCACCACTGACAGTATACTGTATAGATCAGTGTGATTTCTTATTCCAAATAGCATACTGATCATTGACACTGATGTGTTTGAGTGAACACAAAGTCAAATATTCACTCATTTTGTAGAGTATATTTCTATTACCAGTCATCAATGTATGTACACATCCACGACGCTCCTAAGTCAGTCAGAATGTCATAGCTTTATTCAAATCAACAAAACATTTTGTTGCAGTTATACTTAAATTGGATCTTCGTTTACTTAAAAAAAATTAGAATCGTTTGTGAAGAAATTTCAGATTTCCAAGAAAAAGGACACACTGTGTCACTGGAACAGAATAGAGATTATTTAGTGATTCAATGATTCCAATATCACTTTGAACCTCTGAGAAATCTTTAGATCAACCGTACTAGTTATTTCACGATTGTATTACCCATATGAATTACATTACAAAGATATCTTCCTACGACTTATACCAGCTTTATCGGAGGTCTGCATCCACGATTCCGCCAAATAGAGTTATTGTGATATATTGAAATTACTAACACCAATAATGAGATTCAATCAACCAATAAAAGTCAATGCACATATACTTTAATTGATAAGCTTCTCATTCGGATTATGATTCTTGGTTTGGGTTTTACCCTTAATAAGCTACATTTATTGAAGAGTTGAAAATTGCAAATCTGTGCTTTCAAGACATTTCAATAATTAAATTACTACAGTCATCGTCTATTTAGTTATGCATAAAGATTAATTGTAGGCACCTTTGATGGGATTATACTTACGTTGGTTCATTGTGTAACTGTTAATAGACGACAAGGTAAAAAAATGATTATGAATACAGTCGTTCATAAATCTTAGAAGAAATTAAGGGAAAAGTAGTATTGATTTCAGAACATTTGACCTATTAATTTTGTTACTATGGAATGATCTCAACATAGTGCACACAGTGTCGAGTCACCTGGACTAGTGGCCACATTGCAACTTGATCGATAGCATTCGATCAGCACTAAGAAGGGGTTGGCACACATGACATTGATCACTACCCAATGATCAATCAAGCGTGATATCTATCCCTTTTTGACCTTTAATAAATAGGTATTTTAAAGCATGATCAATCGGTCTAATAATACTCCTTTGTATGAAACGCTCTAGAAGCCAATTCCTGAGATGTTTTTGTACATTTAAATCATTGGATTAGACCATAATGTTGCGGTTATCAATCTCAGATAAAGAGATCAGTTTTATGTGGATCTCAATGTCAGTCAGTCAACTTAAACTGTCGAAACTAAAATCGAAATACGAATTTTGACAAAACGTTGTTCTTTTATGTTTCGAGCAGTTATTGTTTGTCAAATGTGTTCTAAATTCTTTGATATGAATGCACCAATCTACGAACCAGGAGAAGCTTCAACGTATCAACTGCTATCCTATTCTTGAAACGTTTTTTCAGTTGAACTGATGTGAAGTCATCTCAGTCGTTCAGTCGTGTTGAATTACAGTGTTATTGACAAGGGATCAATTTCGCGACTACATGTATCCATATATACTTTAGCTCATTTTATTAATAAGTTATATTTCACCTTCATTATTTTCATAGACTGGAAATGGGAGGGTAAGAGCAGAACTTTTATTTGTATATATAAATGTTCTTAACAAGTATATTATGTGTGATCAGATTGTTCGAAATGTATAGCGCTAATATCTCATCACATAGTTCTTATAATCCTCGTCTTCTTATATTACACTATCGAAATGAGTGAACGAATTTTATATAGTTAAGATCATGATTCAATTGAAGTCAGACCACCGTGGAAAACCTGGAAGCACTGGACGACCGTTTCGTCGTAATGTGTGACGGCCGTCCAGTGCTTCCAGGTTGGATAGAACTAGAAAGGATGGCCCAGGACAGAATAGGTTGGAGAATGCTTATCGACGGCTGAGGTTCCATTTGGTGTAACAGGCATTAGTAAGCCCTCAATCCATAATCTTAACCACTGATTCCTCAAATTATCAATACGTACTATGAATTGATGAAAGAAGCGTTTTGATTCAATCGGACAAATACACAAACTTTGATCAGTTTACGATCACATCACTCTATTACTAAATGAAATTGAACACTCTTGTATTTTGTATGCATTCTGTAAGGCTTCCATCCATAAGAGGAGAACAACTCTAATGTTGTTCAGCATAGAAATTATCAACAAGGCATATTCACTCATCAGTCAGTATATATGCTTGTTTTCAGTAAATGTCACGTCGAACATTAATCTTACAATACCATATACTTAAGTCAGGCTATTGATTCGTCAATCACTATCATAAATATCTACCAACAACATAACTTCAACTATGAGAGATAAGCTTTGTAAATCGTTAGACAAAACAGTCCGGCTTGTTGATGATAGCTGACCTGTATTGTTGGCCATGGAACTGGATTTCCCACTAATGTTAATGTTTTACATAATCATACGTGTAACATAATAAAATCGGATACAAACAATTTAGTTTACCTGAATTACCTTTAATGTGGTTTAAATCAATTCGTCCCATTTGATAAGTTTCGATAGTGTAATATAAGAAGACGAAGATTATCAAAACTATGTCCTGAGATATTAGCGCAATACATTTCGAAACTCTGATCACACCAATACTTGTTAAGAATAAATGAAAGGTCAACTAGACTTGAAATGAGAAGGAGGGTAGGAGGAGACCTTTTATTTTTATATATAAATGTTTTTAACAAGTATATTATGTGTGATCAGATTGTTCGATATGTATAGCGCTAATATCTCATCACATAGTTCTTATCATCCTCGTCTTTTTATATTACTCTATCGAAATGAATGAACGAATTTTATATAGTTAAGATCATGAGTCAATTGAAGCAAGACCATCATGAAAAACCTGGAAGCACTGGATGACTGTTTCGTCCTATTGTGAGATTCCTCAGCAGTGCGCATCCACGATCCCGCATTGCGAGCGAGGTTCTAACACAGGACCTACCAGTCTCGAGCCAGAGCACTTAACCTCTATCGCCACTGAGCCGGCAGGCATCCGACGGTGTTAATGTCTAATTTCAACCAACTCACGAAGTTTGAGCAACACATCCACCTTTGTCTTCAATCAGCTGATATCTCACAACAGTGGTCAATGGAGTTCAACCAGTTCCGTTTTTGAGATATCAACTCAATGAAGACAATGGTAGACTTTTATACATAACAAGTTGACAGGATAAATAGGATCTGGAAAGAATTGCTCAGGACGGAATTCGATGGACAATCCTGGTGGGCGGTCTATGTTTCACCACGAGGGGTGACTTATTCTTATTATCATAAATAATATAAATACGAAAAAGCTATTATAATTATGGCATATATATTGTAATGAAACGATAATAATTTGAATTACCTGAAATATCATCCGTAAGATTCCAAGCAGAATGTAAAATAAACGGTTGAATAGATCTAGCATCATTTTCAATGTTCAGTCTTTGTTTCAAAATTTGAATGTCAATTTATACTGTACTCTAACCATTTATAAATAGAAATAATACCATGACAACTATGAACTTAATCTTGTATTGATCATTATTATCCAAACTGGATCGTAGGAACCATGGCAACTGCATTTCTATGTTGATTCTCATTACATAAAATGTAGACTCCGTTATTTCTTCACTAAGTAAACATTAAGAGAAAAAAATTAAAATACTTTTCTAATTTTGGATGTTTTATTTACTCGAGTGGGATCATTTATAACTAGATAAACAAAGTATAGGCCATTGTTTACCTTATATTGGGTAACTATTGAAATAATCATTCGTCAGAAATGAGTACGAATTTAGATGTGAAGAAAAAAAAGTATACCACTCAATTCAAACAAACAAATATGAATTATCATAGTTGAAATCTTGAGTCAATTGAAGCAAGACCACCATGGGAAACCTGGATGCACTTGAAGGCCGTTTCATCTTATCACGGGACTCCTCAGCAGTGCGCATCCACGATCCCGCACTCGTGAGATAGGAACTCGCTGAAGACAATTGTTGAACGGTTGCTCTAACTTCGTGGATCAGTTGAAGTTAGATATTAACACCGTTGGATGCCGGCAGGCTTAAAAGTTTATTGGTTAAGGACTCTTGCTCGAGACTGGTGGGTCCTGGGTTCGAATCTCGCGAGTGAGGGATCGTGGATGCGCAGTATTGAGGAGTCCCATATTAGGACGAAACGGCCGTCCAGTGCTTCCAGGTTTTACATGGTTGTCTAGCTTCAATTGGTTCACGCTTTCAACTTTTAAAATACTAAATTTCTACAAAACCCCTCGTGATAAATATGGATTAATTATAATCGGATAATGAATGTTTTTCTTCCAGAAATATTACTCATTTAAGATCAACACAGCATAAAAAGTTGTATTAGGAAGGATGCACATATACTTTGATACTTACTTACTTACGTCTTTTACCCCTCGTGGAGGAGCAAAGTCCGCCTACCGGCATTCTCCATCCAACCCTGTCCTGGGCAACGCTTTACAGTTGTTATTCATTCTTTACATATCTGCTTTTATTTCACGGAGTAATGTGTTCTTTAACCTTCCTCTTTTCTGCTTCCCTTCAGGATTCCAAGGTAGGGATTGCCTCGTGATGCAGTTTGGTGATTTCCCTAAAGTATGACCTATCCACTTCCAATGTCTTTCCCTAATTTCCTCTTCAGCTGGGAGCTGGTTTCTCCTGTCGCACAGTAGGCTGTTGTTGATAGTATCCGGCCAGTGAATGTTGTTAATGATCACAATTATATTGGACTGCTCAGTAGCTTTACACGGTTCCTAGATAATTTTGGTTGTGTACTGGTCATATTCTTACTTACAACATTTGTACTGAAGATTCTCTTTAACCACTTGAAACCTAGAAGTTAAAGTATGAATAAATTCAAAACCATTTAGTTGGTTTGCTTTGATACCATGACTTCGACAAAATCATTTATGGAATACGTTTTGAAAAAGTAAGTCCCATAATTATGAAATCGTTATGCGAAACGTTCAACATGTCTAACTTACTCATAGAATATATCCATTGAAACGAATCAACTTTTTCATCGTCTCATGTACATGAAAACACTGAAAAGTAAACGTCAACTTACTATAAATTATAACGTCTCTCACACAAATATGGACAAGAGTGTTCAGACCAAGAGTAATTTTTTTTAAATTTCGGAACAATTAAAGAGTACGACACCAAACGTAAATGTATGGCAGTACGTTGTTTAATCCATCTATTTTCAAGGAGTCGCTACTAGGTGCATTTTGGAACATGTGAAGAAGGAAAAGAGGTATCTAGAAAAGGCGCGTTCAACAGCGGTGCCGAATTAATGGAAATAAGTAGCCATATCAGTTCGAAAGCATGTCAGTTATTGAAAATGGTTCTGGTTAATAGGTAAGACGTTCGAGATGCAACACATTCATTCATCTTGACTGTTCTACAAGGACCGTTGAGAGTGACCTATTGTGTATGGAGCGTTTTGATGGAGTTTTGTTCTTTGAGCTGGATGGTTAGGTCGTGGGGCTTTCATCGTTCTTCTGAACGACACCTCGGAGTCAACAGGACAGGCTGTGAACCACATGTGGAGAAATTCAAACAATTCACTTCTACCCGATATTCTGTGCTAATGATGTCGTTCAGAAGGACGATGAATTACTATGTAAAATTACTTTCGAACAGTTGAAGAAATGGCTAAAAATACATTTCATTCACTTAAATGTCTACATTCATTTTATTATCACATTGAAATTATGAATCAATCAATGTAGGCCATAACTGAAAACTTGGAAGCACTTGACGGCTATGTCGTCCTAGTATGCAACTCTTCAGTAGTGCTCATCCACGACCCTGCATGTAAGACTCAGACTCATGTGAATTCCTTATTTGTTCCTGGTCTGAATGCTGTAGACAAGATTAGTTTGTTTTCTGGAAAACTAGTTACAATGGTCAGTATAAACTTGTGTTTATTGAGAGTGAACTTATCAATTTTGTCTAACTCGTTCACATCTATAGTGTATTTATCACTGAGATCTTATACTACACAATATCTACGTTATACCTATTTCATCTGTGCGATAATGGAGAATAGGGCAGTTTTAAATGTTTTTGGTATTATCTTTTTTATACGTCCGGTTATTTAGTTGACTATTAGGTCATTTCACAATATATTCTTCAACGGATAATCTAAATATTACCATACATAACTGAAAACGCTTAGTTGAAAGCATGAGTGAATTGAGGCTAGAGCATAATGGAAAACCTGGACGGCCATTTCGTCCTATGATGTGACTCCTTAGCAGTGAGCACCCACGATCTAGCCTCACGAGATTCGAACCTAGGACCTACCAGTCTCACGCCAGAGCAATTAGCCGAGGAGTCCTACAATAGGACGAAACGGCCGTCCAGTATTTTCAGGTTTTCCTTGGTGGTCTAGCTGAAATTGACTCATGCTTTCAATCACGAAAATACCAAATCTCCACAAAAACCCTTTTGAAAAAGCTTAGCATGATGTTTGTATGATTGACGATAAAAAAATTACTATTTCTTATTTAAGTATATGTTTAACACTATCACTTCTTCCACTCTTCATTACTTATATCTAATAATGATAGTCGGTATTCCATCCAATGTTTCATCATATGTACTATTACTTCGGTATTAAACGAAACGACTGTACCCAATCCATTGGCTTAATTCCTAAATATATCAATATACTGGTATACACACTTGACATTATATAGGCAGGTGTTCTAGAAATTTGTATACTCGGGCTGGTGAGCACCTTCCAGTGTGGTTAAACAAAGGTGTAGTCAAAATGGTAAACAGCTCCATTTTAGCCCATTTATTTCATACACAACATAGAGCCCACATCGAGCTATCTTTCACAACAATATATCGTGTTAACAGCAGTCTACCTAATTCTGTCAGACTGAGAATTCTGAAGAGAGCTGAGACTATTGCCATTCGGATCAAAATGCCATAGCTTTGCATCCAAAAGAAATATGTTCAGACGCTCCTTTTACCCTGACCAACTTCAGCGTCAACTTGTTAATAATCACTTTTACAATATGGTGATATTAATTTAATTAATGTTCATTCTGAACTTATTTCATATACAGATCTTGCCAGTCAATATTATTGAATTCATTTAGTATTATTTGATTGAATCTTCCCATCGTTGTGTTAGGACTTAAACTGGTCAGTCTCTAATTAGCATATGTGCATACTGTGCGTATTGCCTCGATATAGCCTTAATTCATAAGCATGGTACGCAAAGATGGGTAGTGGCTAGCAGTGGGATCCAGTTTAGTGCACGTCTCGTCCTATTTGGGACTCGTCAACTGGATGTACCTGCATCTCAAAGTTGATGTTCACTCTGGGACTATTATTATTGCACTTCCTAACCTTTAAGAGAAATTTATTCAGCATCCAGCCCTATTTACTATATCTGACCTATTTCAATTATAATATTCTTCGTTCATATAATTTTGATTTCGAATTTTTTTGACATTCTACATCATGTACGTCCGATTCACACTATACACAGAATGAATCGTTGATCATGTTTACATTGACGTTGAGCGTTAACTTGTTTGAAGCCTATTTCATCGCTGATAACTAACATTCTCATCATTGTACATTTAATCCATCAACATAAAAGGTAAATACTATTCGTTGTCCTTATTCCCAAGTTCGAAAAATGGAACCTACTTCGTGAAAAAAATTGTTTTCAAGGTCAAATTATTGAGTTCAACATTAATTGAATGAGTGATCTTGTATATTGGAAAGGATCATTCGAAAGGTTTGCATACATGATTGTTCTATTGTTCACACATTCATTGCAACCTTAGTCAAGTGTTGAATGATTTCAACTCTTATTATGTTTACGCTTATGACTACAATTGAAGTAATATTAGTACTCGTTTTTCGGTACTTTCAAATAATGCACGTTACGATTTCGTCATTGTATTGATTATGATGCTTGCAGATTGTAATCATCTTTTATGTACGTTTGCATTCATTGATAAGATTACTACTTATATTTGTATTAGTAGTATGAATAGGTGGTAAGAAAATAAGTGGCTGATTGAATGATTAATTGACTGATAGGATAATTGATAGATTGAGTAGACAATTATTTAAGTTTGTGAGTAGTGTCTCAGTGTGGATAGATAAGAATCATAACTGGAATTGTCGGTAATTAAATAATGATATTGTCCTAAATGACAGTCTAATACTTCAAATATAACGATCTAGTTTAGAGAGAACAACATTATTAAAAATAATTCACTCTAGTAAGTTGACGTTCAGGAGGAACCATAAGAAAATTTCATAGTCATACAGTTGAGAACTGGTATAATGATACATACAATAGAAAGGTTGAAAAGCGGTAATAAATTCAATTTACATAAGATGTTATTTTGACTTCGAAACATTGCTAGAATTTCTCAAAAGTATCCTGGCTACTGAACAATGATTGCGATAACCGTTACATCTACCTCCACGATATGACTTACATGACATGGATATTTTATTAACCATG